TAGCATAGCTTTGTATGTCTTATGGTTCTGTTCATTTCCAACGTTTGAGTCATAAAAGATAAGGATCCATCAAAATTTGGCAGAAAAAGTACTTTTTAGAATCCATTTTTTATCTATCACAATAAAAGTGGTTGAAATCATCAAGAAACACAATGTATATGCAATATACATTAAGTATATATATAGTGTTTTAATATAAATAACAACTAATTGATTAATCCTAATTTGTATTTTAAAATTGTTTATTACCTATTACCTATTAGGTTTTTGGAGGAAAAAAACTTGGCTAGGTAATTCTTGAACCCTTCCAAGAATGCGACGATACATCGTTGTGCGTCTTTTTCCCGAAAAGTGCTATGGAACAATATATCGTTGTTCGCACTTCATCCAAAAAGTGCTAAGCGACAATATATCGTGCCGGATTGACTTTAGATCGTGTGATTTTAAATGGGGATATCGGTTGACTCAGTTGTTGTTTCGAAACAGCGATGGTTTCTTTTGATTCCTCATACGATCGATGCCCAGTATATCATTCCTTAGCACTTTTGAGATCCTACATTTTATTTTTACAGTTTTTCTCGCACACTAGTCTTTGCCCCTGTGGCAAGCCTAGCACTTTTCAGACAAAATAAGTAAATAACTTAAGCATTTTTTGGAAAATTACATAACAAATTCTAGCTTCAAAAAGATTAAGGAAGAAGGAGTAAATATGCAACTAACTTGCCTATCAACGGAGTTCCAGGTAGTCAAAAGCACAAAGAGTTTATTGGGTTGTGGAACTATTTTTTTATCTAAGTTAGTTGTGTATAAACTACTTCTTCCTTCATTTTCCTATTAATAAATAAACAGGTTTCATAGAAAAGACTTTTAGTTGTAAAACTGCAGTTTCAAATAGTTATTTGTACAGATTAATTACTAAAATTTATTTCGTATACATTGGAATGTTTTGGAAAGGAGGAACTATATGGAGTAAATCTCATGACCAGCGGTTTCCAAACTACGAATGGGTCACCAGCAATTTTGGTGGGTAGATCGAAGAGGCCAAACATTTTACAAAATTTTAATGAGCACCAAAATAGTACTGAGCGCGTAGCAAGGATCACGGCTGTACATGAAAATATTTTCAGAATACTCACAGTTCAACATGATTGATGTTTCCTTTAGCTCGAAACCACAAAATTCAAATACTAATTGTGAGGGGAGTTTTCATTCCCAATTTTTATTTGTGGATTTGGATACTTTTTAGGACTTTTCGGTCATGAATTAGTCTATAATATTGCAATCAAGGAAAATGTCTTCAAAGTTGTCATTACCTTTGAAGTTGTCATTACTGATAGATCACCTTCAATGACTAACTAATGCAGTACAGTCCTCTCCGCTCAGCCTATCACTTGATTTTTTAGAGTCACTTAAGATTCTTCTTAGTTTCAGAGAAATATCGTAGTCCAGTAATAATAAGCAAGACAACATTTATGTCCAGACGTGATAACAATCACTTTCAAAAATAAATTTCCCATTCATTAAACAAATTACCCGCAACTCATGTCTACGCACAGGCCCTGCCTATGTAGAACATTTCCATATAAGTTTATAAGGTTTTTTTTTTCATTTTGCCATTTAGTTATAATATATTTTTGTAAGTTATTTTCAAGTCAAGGATTGTGTAATTTATTATGTAAAATACCACAAACTGTATTTTTCAGTTGGGAAATAGAATGTTATTTCATTTCACCTATGATTTTAAATACTGCCACAATAGGGAAAAACAAGCAAGCCTATTCGTTTTTGGACCAATCCAATCAACGTGGAGATAGTGATGTTACCACGAATGAGGGAGATTACAAATTGACTGTGGTCTAGTTAGAGATGATTACAAAATATTTAGGGTGGATTTGTGATAAATGCACCATTTAATACACAAACTTGTAAGCATATGAAACCTACATACACATAGCTTTTTTAAACTAGTGGTTTTGTAGTAAAATCAACTGGAAGGCTTAATTTGACTGAATTGGGTTGTGTATTTAAAGAATCAAGAAGAATCATGGATCAAGAAGTGTGTGAGAGGGTAAACTCCTTAAAAATTAAATACAAAAATAGGATGAGTGAAAAATGCATATCACATACTGTAGTTGTTAGCATAATTCACACCAATGGTAGGCCTAAACTTTGGTTCTAGATCATTTAATGTTTCTCAAACCATAGTGTTTTGGATTAGATTTTATACTTTCAATAGCATCATCGCAGGTTTTCTTTTAGTTCCATGTTTCTTAGTGTACATGGTAAAAATTGACAAATTTACAAAAGAAAATAATTATAGGCTATTATTTAGTAGAAGATTCGCAAAAAAGAAATCCAAGGTGGTGGTAGTTCGTCAGACCAAAAAGCTTGGGAACCGCTGCTCTTGACAGCTGCCTCACTAAACAGCTTTCTGGATAGTACTTAAACGAAACAAAGAATTGTGTGGAGATGAAAACCATATAATTACGCCTAGGTAGATTGCAGCATCATCCCTCAAAACTTTGAGGGTAGCTCATGCTCTATGATAAAAATATTTCAAAATCCAAAACTTTTTGTGCAAATAAAACGTTGAGAAAGTATTTATGGCACCTAAATCATTCACATTGGCACAATAATCAAGAAGGTTAACAGAACGTAGTTTGCGCCAAGAACACAAGGGACGACATTGACTGGTAATGCTCCATGTGTTCCATGGTAATGTGTAAGCATTGAGTTGGTAAGCTTCCTGTTTCTTGAATAGCTTATTACCTCTTTCTTTTCACAAACTGATAGGTTTGGCCTTTTTATAATGAAGCTTATATTCAATGGTAAAGGACTTTACGGAACACTACATTATTTTGAGGAACTTCCCACGCAAGGATTTAGTCCAGAAAACAGCTGTTTGCCGCCAGCTTATTCAAATGGGGTATCATTGCGTACTACTGTACTGCAATGAGTTTTACCGGACACCAATCAGCTGATTATACTGTATTTAGGTGGCAATGAGTGTTTATAAACAAAAACCTATTATGACTAGTGATTTTTAGTCCTTTAGTTGGTGGAAATTTATAAGAATCTGTATGGATTTAGTAGTATGGCGTAAACTATCCTACGTCACTCGTCCAAAATGTGTTTACCGGACTTTTATAGTAATCCCGTACTCGACTTCGTCTCTCGCACGGGAACGACCACACTCGTCCGGTAAACACTTATTTTCAGGACTAGTAACGTAATATACTATTTAACCACAATAAGCAGCTAGTTTCTGTCTCTTTTTAAACAAGAAAGTAATTGTTTATAGATAGGGACTGGCGAAGTTAGCTTGAGTCCAGTAAATTCACCAATCACTCTCAAAGAAAGTTTTTTCCCAAAAAAACATTAGTAACTTACTTACTAAGGATCTCAACAAAGAGATACATTAAAGGATAGGTTTTGACAGGAACATTGCACTTTCAGAATCAGAATTAGAAACAGTTTATTCAAGATTTAAATTATAAATACAGAATGGCGTCATAAGTATACAATTCTAAAAACTATTGAAATGCTAACTAAATGAGTCTTTTTAAACGTCTTCATATTATTAATTTCTATAATATCTTTAGGCTAAGAATATAACTACTTAGTACCTGCAGCTGAAGGTTTTTTTTTTATTATAAAACTCTAAATTATGCCTCTTGATGGCTGGGTAGTTTGGATACTGAGGATTATAATTATGTGTGACTCCCAATTTTGGAAGTGTATTGTTATTCATTTCAGTTTTTGGTTTAGTTATAGTTTTATAAACATATACTTCATACACTGTAAATATATTTAATCTAGCAAAATACTGTTTCACCAATTGGTTGTTTCCTAAATTTAACATAATGTGTATGGCTTACTTTTGTAAAACTAATATACTTGTACCATCTAAGCTTTGTATGTTTATGTGAGCATAGTAAACTTCAGTTAAACATCCTAAGAGCAGAGTTTAAACAAGTTGTGCAGTATAAAAAACCTAAACAAATTTTACATTCTAGTTTTTCAATGTGGTACAACCAAGAAAAATGTTGATTAATTATTATTCGTAAGAATTTTGTTTGAGTGACTTGAGTTAAGTAATTGTGATCAATTCTTAATTCAGGTTATAAGTCTCCTTTTGAGCTATTGAAAATTATATGCAATTGGTATTCTCTGAGTAAAACAGTAAGTTTTTGCAAGATAAATCTTTATTTATTGATTTAAGGCAACTATTGCCTAAATATTCAACTTTATCTTTAGATCTACCAGATATGATAAATACAGTACTGGAAAGGTTTTTACCGATGACCGTTTTTTAAACAAGCTGTTTTAGTTCTGTTCTTAGAATTGAAAAGATGCACTTAACAGTATTTTTTACTTACTTAACAGCATTGTTGTTTTACTTTACAACACAAGTAACGGACTAATGAGATTCTGGATTGAAAGAAAAGTAAAATTTAATACTTTAAACGTCAACCTATCAGCTTTTAAGACCAATTCAATTAATTAAAGAGAACAAGTCATTGCATCACAATCAGTAGCTATGAGAGGTTATAAACAAAAACATAACCTCTCTTGGAAGTTATGATTTGTGATTTTTAGTAATTAAGAAACAGTTGTAGGTAAAGTAGTGTATGCAACTCGCGTAGTTAGCCTAATCGACACTCATATTAGTTTTAAAGGCCCAGACCAAGGCTCATACCTTAACTTTTCTACTTGTGTCTTTAAGACTATCCTTATGCGATCGATATGCAAACTATTCTATTATGTTACCTTTAGAATTCAAAATTCAGTATCAATATGAAAATAGTGTATAAAACTGTGTTGTGATCATATGGATTGTGGATATTTGTAGCTGGTAGTGTGGCAAAAGTGTCATATCCTACTCACCTGGGATGAATCTTAGTAGCACTCATTGAAACTAACATGCTCATACTGTAAACATCTACTTCCTGACCTTGTAACGTAATATACTACTTTGCACCCTTGAAAGGGCAGTTTACCTGGTATGGGCACTGGAGGCTTGATACTATGAGGGCTGGGGGGTACAGTTTGAGTGGGGGAATCTGGAAGTTCACTGGGAGACACCATGCCACTGGTCATACGGCTGAAACAATCACCAATCATGAATAGACGTTTCTACAATTTTACTATGCAGAAGCATAAATTTAATTATACTGACGTAACCAAACTGAGAAAGAGTAAAAGGTCAAGAGAATATGAGATGAGTCATGAGAAATTTGACTAGTGATAAGTGAATAAACTAGATTTTGATCTTTTTACAACTAGTTTTTATTATTTACGCAATTTCTAATAAAATCTGATCAAAAGTTTAATGTAATTATATTACTAATGTAAGGTTAGAGAACCAATAGAAGCTTCACAGTACTTTTTAAAAGTCACATGGTTTACTTTATCATAAAAACCGATATCCAAACCCATACATTTGAGTAAAACTAATGGTAACCTTGATAATGATTCGTTGCTTAGCAGTTTTAAAATAATGTTCATTAGAATCAGCTGTTCCTGGAAATTTATATTCCAATGTAAAACCTTATGGGAATAACGATCCTAACTTACACAAACGGACTCTTGGGTAAAATTATTTCAAGGGATGCAAACAGGTATATTATTGTGGGTTCTAATATTGGTATTGCTGTGGGGGAACCAATTCTGAAGTAAAACAAGTATTTTTAGGCTGTATAAAAGAAAACAAATCTTTCAAATCAACTCATTTGTCTCAAAAAATTGTATAAATATTGAACTAAATTACAGCAAATTGGAAATAAGAGTAAAATAGGAAATCAACATGAATTTTGGAATAATAATGAAAAATAATGATATAATAAAGGTGTAACAATATCTGTTTTCACTAAAAGTTATAATTTAGATCAAAACTTGCAAATCAATTGCAACTGTAATGATGGTTTTTCCTCATTGGCTTTTCTTTAAGTTGACAAACTGTTTATACTTACTGCAGATTTATTGAGAAGCCTAAACCATTAAAACTTAGGGTTCTTAATTTTTATATAAGAAAAGCCATGATCTTGCCTAGGCCCCACAGTCACAACGAGTTTCCAATATGAGAAAGTCTTAAATTGCTTCATAGTCAACCATCTTATAATCAATATCTCATATACAAAACATATTAGTTTGAAAGGTGTCATGGTTGTATGGATTTATTTTTAACATTTTCATTATCGTTGTAGCAACGTTGTAATGCTATGGAGCATCATTTTGATAAACATTGGTTTAAAACGTAATTATTGATCATTTAAAATTCTTTGAATACCATGGGGATGGAATGTGTAGTAATATAAATAGTCATAGCTTATACAAGGATAGTATTCGTTCTCTGAGGAGTTAGTCTAGTTACCTAAACTCACTGACGACTGAGCTACGATCATCGGGAGGCTCAACGCTGCTGAGAGAGCCAAGCGAGCTGCACCGAGAAAACATCAGCGGAGTCTCAAATGTCACCACTTTACCTGCAAGCGAACTCTGTTAACTACAAATGCAAATGGTAATCCAGACATGAACAGCCTATTCATTAGGCAAGTATAGATGATATCAGTTAGGACGGTCAATTACGACTCATAAGTTTTATTCTCATATGTCCCCATGGTGAAGAGGGGATTTCAAGTCAATGACTGCACCGATAGATTTTATTCTTGATTTTCTCCTTATTTTGACCCAAGGAATCAACACGTCCCCATATTTTTGAACGCCTTGAATATTAAATCATATCTAATGGCTATTATGGAGATGACTGTACAAAATAAAAGCAATGGTGGTGGGGAAAGGGTTCAAATGTGCATACACACCCCTTTGCCAATCCAAATGATTCGATCAATAATACATCTTTATTTATCTGTTAATAAAGCGCAGGAGTAACATTTCCATTTCAACCCTTATCTGGTGATCATTGAAAACAACGGATACAAACCTTATAAGAAACTAAATGCCCGTGTAAAAAATTCAGCCTGAGATTTTTTAATTTTGGCAAGTTCCCACGGCAACCACTCGGTATGAAAGGCGCTGCTATCGGGACCCCCAAAGCTGTGTGAGTGAGACAGAGAATTGTCGTAGAAAGAGAAGAAGAGAGGAAGAGAGAGGCTAGCACTTACCTATTGGCGGCTGCGCAAAGCTCCATAGCTCCAGCTTGGCGGCAAAATACAATCTGACCAAGCATTTTGCTTCTTATAAGGTTTGTATTCACTGGTGAAAACCTCCTTACTCAATATTGTTGTATTGTTGTATTCAAACTCTACACTAAATGCATGAGATAAAAAGTATCTCAACTTTTGAGGGTGTAGGCCCTATCAAGTAAAAAACTTGGAAACTGAAACTAGACGAATAGTGTTACCACTTGTCAGTAATAAACTCGGAAAACTTATTAGAGGAAAAGTATTTACACAATAATGTATTCTATCAAGTAAAAGAGATTGAACTTGTTTTTTTTTATTTACTGGGAAAATCAATATCTTTTCACGAGTCACGGGTTATCCTTAGTTCGAGCGCAAAATCCAGTTATAGCCAGTGTTTTGCGCCGCGGCTTAGAAATTGGCTTCACGAGTACGAGGTTACCCGCGCTCGGGCGCAGACAGATAAACTTCACCCAATTATGACAGGGATAAACCCGAGCGCAAAAAGTCGGCTTCACGGGTTCAATTAGAGAAAACCCCGGGCCAAATGTCGGGTTCACGAGTCATGGTCTAGCGCAAACTGGATAATCTCGGGCGTAAATAACAATGGTTTTGGCCTTCAACTTAACCCTGCTAGGGGGCAGGGTTAAGTTGACATAATGTCGGGATTATCTCATTTGCTCGTTTATTGTTTTTTTGTTAGCAAAAAGAATGTTATATTCGTATTCGCCATTAAATTCCGAACAATTTCATTACCCTCAACATGATATTTATTTTTTCATTTTTTTTACTACTATTGCCGAAAACATGCAAAACTTGTAAAAAGTAGCTGTTGAGACATTTTAATTCATTATTACTAAGTAAAAATATAACTAATAGCTTAACATATTCATATAAATTTAAATTGCAATCGAATCTTATGTTTTATATTCATTTTAGCAATTTTGAACCCTTTTATTTCAGCTGAATAATATCAAAATAAAAATGGTTCCATCAAACACTGTTAGGTTTGTCTAAGAATTTTTATTGTATAAAATTAGTACAATTTTTGTTCATCCATAAAATTGATATAAAACCTATCATTTTATTTGAGTTTCCAAAATTTTTTGGATGTTTTAAATTATATGTTTATATTATTATATTTATGATTTAACATTTGTTATTTTCATCTGATAATGTCTCAATATTTGTCATATCGGGATTTACAATAAATTGCTTCAATTTGCTGAGGTAAAAGATAAATTCTATAGTTAAATATATAAAACGTTGTATTATAACAAAATATTTTTTAAATTATAACCTGTTTTCTCACACCTGTTTTCTCATGCTTATAGGGCTGCGTTCTACTCGTCTGACGCGCGCAAATGCAAAGGGTTTAGTTCTTAGGCCTGCTGTTTGTGGCCCCAATTGTGAACAGCTTTAAAAGATCTTGATGTCATAAAATGTTATTGTAGGTTTGCCATTTTATATTTACGTTTAATACTGTTTACGTATGAAGGCATCTCGGCTCCTATAATAGCCAGTTGTTCCTCCAAATAGATTTTTTATACAAATTACTGAAACATAAAAGATAATCATAAATCTTTGAAAACAGCAGTCATTTTATTAAATAATTTGAACGTTTGGATAAAACTGCAATTCTGATCAAGTATGTCTTATTTTTGAACATAATGGTAACCTAATTTTATTGCAAACATTACCAAGATTTGTTAAAATTTTTTTTTAACATCATTGCATTTTCCCGATGCAATGTATTCAGTAATAGTGTATTATTCAAAATTCAATGACAAATTGAGTACCTAACTTTAAACTTTAGTATGAAATGAATTTAATTGCAAGTCCACAACCTTTTATACAATATCAGTAAATACCCTGCACAATTATAATAATTTATGAACCAATCATTATGACGCAACGTCATCCTATTGTTTTGGGGCTCGTCGACCGCGAGCAGCGGCCCCAACGAAAACTCCCAGTTAATCCCTGCTCTTGATCGACGGCCAGCGTTGGTCTCGGCTAAGCTTGATCTCGGCTAACGCTCTATGTCGTGAACCCATTTTTTGACCGTCGGTTAAAATTGGTCGAGATTAGGGGTGTGCGATGCATCGAAAATGCATCGAAATTTCGATTCGATTCGATTCGATGCATCGAATCGCGATTCGATTCAGTGGTGGTCAAAAAACGATTCGATTCACGAGGGAGTCAGTATCCATATACGAAAAACGCCTGCAGAAAGTCAATGCAATACCCGCAATACAGGAGCGCGTTGCTGTTGCGTTTCCTTTACGAAGGCGTTCTTATTTAATACATTCTTTGCATTAAATATAGCTTTAATTGTTTTATATTTTTTTGTTTTGACATTGCAAATGATTAGAGGTTTTGTTTTTTGTCTTGATGTAAGCAGTGTGTGAAATATTTTACTACTGTGAACCTAGCCAAAACAAGGTAGGTTACTCCAAAATCATTTTAAAAATAAGTCTGAAAAATTGTTACTTAATACTTAACTAGTAAGATCAATGTTATAGACTGATACATTTGGTATTTTTGTTAGGTGTCTGTCGGTCCCCGTCCCCGAATTTTTGTTGGGGCAAAAGAAAAAAAAGAATAATTTATTTCCAAAGAAACACTCTTATATTATTATATCTATTAAAGAGGAATTAAAATGTTCAAATGAGAATTAAAAATTAAGTTGGCTCACGACCTTTAAGAATAAAGACACAACAGAGCAATTGCCGCACTGCCACTAGCCAGAGCCAGGTCTAGTCGTCTACTGATAAGAGTAACAAGACAAAAGCCGTGACGCAACACTAACAGTGCAAAGAAAACAGAGTCAAAAGAATAGAAAGACTATTTATCCAGACATATTAGTATAATCATTTATTGTTCATTCAATACCTAATTAAAAATATATTTAGTATTTTACATAATAAATTATAAACAAAAGAAATATCTGATATAGTGAACAGATCTGTATCTTGGTTAAATAGTGTTAAAAAAATATATTTCTAAGATCCAATACAATATTTACAACTCACAAATTACATTGAATTAATTTCTTTGAAAATAATCTCTAACAGTTTTGTGTTTTTGAATAAAGAAATATATTTCTTTGTCTCTACTTCCTTGTTTCATCACTTGCATTTTGTCAGCAATTGAAGCAACTGGGTAGCAACCGGGTGGTGTAAGAGGGGAGGGGGAGGGTCTATGACCTTGAATTCACACGTTGCCCGGGCCTGGCTGGTGAGACTGATTCATTGTTTTTGTTGACATACTACTACCCTTCCTTAAGAGAAAAAGGCCCTGCTGTTCCAAAAACATTGAGGGTAGTTTAAAAACATTGACCTGTGTTGCCAAGGGCACTAGAAGATAGCATTTAACTTTCTTGTCTCTTGATTTAATATTATTTTAATCTTCTATATATTATTTAAGAGTTACTTTTCGGGTACCTAATTAGTTGTGATATTGTTTAGCTTCATTTTATGGATTTTTAATTCTTTTCATTCATTAGCTATCAAAATCAGTTGTTTTAGGATTTTAATCTCTTGCAGTACCGGTAGGTCTATACTACTGTATGACATTATATGCATTTTTTAGTCCTTATTAATTATACCATAAACAATGTTTGTATGTTATTTACTGTTTTTGAGTTTTATAGGAAATTAGTTTACACAATATCTTTTCTTCAATGAGTTCTCTACTTGACATGTTGCTTCCAGCCTATTACTATTTTAGGCCCTATAAAAATAATGCCTATGTAAAGCTGTAGGCCTACTGATGCCAATAATAATTCTTTATTTATGATGATGTAACAAATAATGTAAGTGTGAGGTTATTATACTAAGGAGGTTAGGAGGCAGGGAATGAATGATACATGTTGCATGGTGGAAACATATTATTTTTATTTTCTTCTTGCTTGCAGTCCTGAAGCCGGTCCACAGGCCCTAAACTTGTGATATGTAAATTTATTTCTTAATGGTCTTTTTATATTAAGTTCCATTCAAATTTGTTGTAATTTAGCTACCGGTACCTATTTAGTTATTTAAACAGTTATTAAAATGAGAATGAGTGTCTTGATAAAAAAAATATTTTCTTCTTTCTTGCAGTTGAGCCAATTCCAAGTAAAAATTATGAAATAGGCAAGTAAAGCAGCTCACTGGTATTTCCAGCAGTTATTCTAATACATATGATTGAAAATAAATATTTTTTCACCTAAAATTCATATGTAAGTATGAATAGGCCTAATACCACATCAACAAAAATTTGTATTACACAAATGTGATAAATTTTAATTATTGTTAATCCACTCAATTGACAATTATGAATAGAAAAATACCGTATTGCTTCGAATCGAGTTGCATCGAATCGAATCGAAAATCTTTTGAATCGAATCGTTGCTTCGAATCGAAAATTTTTTGCTGCTTCGCACACCCCTAGTCGAGATCAACGATAACCGCGGGCCACGAAACCCCGTACTCGTGAACCGCCTCTAATAGTCTTTGATTCTAATCGGCAGTTTATAGTAAAGTATTTTCCAAAATAATGTAGCATCTTTCAAAAGAACTCCAATCAATGTATGGGTAATTCAAAATGATTTCTTTTTCTCATGTTGTAACTATGAAAATGTTTGTCTTCCATAAAAATTGCATCTAACGAACTTACAAACACTTAAACACACATAATTAGTTTTTGTAGTTTAGACAAGGATTGGGTCCTAAAGTGTTTAAACAAAGAGAAAACTATACTTATTTTAACCTCATTTACTGTTTTATTTATATACAATCTTGAAGATAAGCTAACCATTGAAACATTCTTGTCACCAAGACTGATTGTATGAGTACATCATGGGTTATGTACCTTTGTGCGTCTTCAGTCTTAAAACAGCAGTTTCGGGTCAAAGACCTATTTCCAAATCCAAAACATCAAGTTTTACGTAGTCTCTGAAATCCGACAGAATACCCAAACTACTGTTTTAAGACTGAAGAAAAACAAAGGTACGCAACCTATCATATAATAAGCAAACAAATGAAAAATAAAACAACTGGACAACTTTACCTTCCCTAGTTTCTTCTTTAGCCTGATTCGAGGTAGGAACATTGTTGATATTCATGTTATCTTCATGAGTTAGTGATCCGACTGGTGAAATTGCCCCACTCTTGGTTTCCACGGACTAAGACAACAAACACATAAGATTCAAGAAGAGACAGGATTTATAACATACTAACACAAAAGTTTAAATGTTTGCCCCCCCCCCACCCATTAGCCCAAAGGGCAATTCTCAGGCAAGTCTAGGACAAAAGGAATTTGATAAACTCACCCTATGATCAGCTCAGTAAACTATGGAGGTCAATGACTCATCCACTGGAACTTTCAGAGAGATAAAACAAACAACATATGTAATTTATTGATATATGTATATTTAGTTTTGTTTATTTATTTATTTTTTAACCTGAAAAGCAAAAAGAAGTTTTTTTTCAATTAAAACAAAAAATGTGTCGATTTTACAGGTCTTGTTTTTTATATTTTTGGTGACCTTGATGGGGGTCAGGGGGCTTATGGCTGGGTACAGAAGTAACCATGGGAGCATCACAGCGCATCATCGTAATGGACCTTATGGTGGAACAGTCCACAGCTTTAGCAGCACTGCAGCAAACAATATTCTCCAGCCCAATAGGATCCGTTTATGAATCCAAGCTAAGCTAAGATACACAAGAATAAAGCTAAAAGCGGAGTAAAATACACAAATTTTTTGTTAGTATTCTAATTATTTTGTCATCCTTAGAAAGAAACAATCAGTTTACATAGGACAAAATCATGACATAGTACAACATAAAATGAAATGGCTTATTTTTTACAGTTTATTTTTAAACTTATTTTGTTCTGGGACTTTTGAGTGTTGTCACAACATGCCTGAGATCATTTTTCACATCCTTTTACGCTAGGACTAGGGGTTGCAGCATTGCGTAAAATCCATTTGTCGGATTTGAACCTGAAACATCAGAACCAAAGTCCTGTGTTCTACTACTAAACCAGCTCACACTGTAATTGTATTTTTCACAATAGCACTCTCTTTGAGATATAATTTAAACTATGTTCTGTTTAGGTTAAGTATTTGTAAACGGCAATTATAAGCTTGACACTATTTATTGTACGTTTTGTGCATGCTATAAATAAAGATAATTTGAATTTTAATATGTTATTTTGATTAAAATCCTGGGTACTTTTCTACAAGACCTTTGATTTAGAACCGTGATTCTGTAATTATGTTTGTTTTATTTCTTAAGTCCACCTGCTCAGTTAGTGAGTGTTTTACGTCTTAATAGAATGCAGCTACAGTGAAGGTAAAAATGTACAGTCACTTTTAAATCGCTCGGAGAACGAGCTGGACTAGTGGTTCGGTCCCTGAGGTCCTGGATTAGAATCCTGTCAATCACCAATGGATTTTATCAAAGTAATAATGCCACAACCGGACAAGCCTAGCCTGAAGTATTGAGTAAAACAATCCACGGCTAAGCCTAGCGCCCTAAAATGTTAATACGAGACATTAAAAAAACGTTGTCCAAAGTCAATGGCTTAACATATGATACTAAATTACCTTAAAGTTGGTTAAGTACCTTGTTAGCAGCATCCTGAGTACAGAGATCAGAAAGTGATGTTGCCGTGGAGAAGTTGTATGGAGTTCCTTCAGTACAATAAGTCTTGGGCTTCTCAGGATCTTCCTCTGCGTAGCGCAGACTGTAATCTGTGGGCTGATCCAAGTCTGTTTCTGCGTAAGCATTGCCTAAGAGCGAGACATCATTTTAACTCATGACAAGTTATAGTTGAATATGATATAATGAAACTTCAAATAACCGTTAGCTTTGAACATGGGCTTTGAGGGCTGTAGCCTCCCATTTTGAGTAGTACAGTTTCAAGAGCTTAACTTTGTTAAATTTAAAAATTAATTGGCTGAATGGCTTCTTGGCAGAAGTTTTAATTCTGTAAAAGTTTTTAGAATGTCAAATATCTAATATATAGTTTTTTTTATTCCTATTCTAATTTCGTTTCTATCAATACACTAGATCTAATCCATAGAAAAATAGTATTTTCCTACAGTTACCTGACAAAGTGGGCTTCCTTCTACTGATTACTGTATAGCAGGATTAAAATTAGAACAGGAGAAACAGTCTTTTGCTAGAATTTCTTCAACTACATCATTTCAAGCTGAATAAATAGATATAAGAAGGTAATGGACCAGAACACCATAAATAAAATAACAAAAATTAAGTGCCACAATAACATACTACTGTCAGCTGGAGCTTTGTCAGTTTCTCGGTACTTGAGGCTATAGTCGGTTGGTTGATCAAGATCAGTCTCCGCGTAGTCAACTACCTCCTGACAAAACAGAAAAAAAACTTTATCACTAGGAACATCGGAACTGAAAAACATGGTAATTCACTTTTTAACCCATTGATAAGAACCACAGTCTGCAAGTTCCAATTGGTGACTTTTCGCTAGGGATGGTCAAGTCTCGAAATTTCGGGAAATTTTCGGGAAATTTTCAATCTTGTTACACGAGACGAGATTACTTTTTGGCCGAGATTTTTATCGAGACGAGAATAAAAAAAAAATAAAAAAAAAAAAAAATTAAAAACGCCTGCAGAAAGTCAATGCAATACCCGCAATACAGGAGCGTGTTGTAGTTGCGTTTCCTTTTCGAAGGCGTTCTTATTTAATTAATTCTTTTAATGTAAATATTACTTTAATTCTTTTAATGTAAATATTACTTTCATTATTTTAATAATATTACTTTAATAACATTTGAGAAGTTTTGTTAAGTGTAAGCAGTGTGAGGAATGTTTTATTACTATAAAAAAGTCAAAACAAGTAACTATTTTATAAAAATTAATATTGCTTTTATTTTATGATTTATTTTATTTTAGGATAAGTTGAACTCTATCCTAACTGATATCACCATGTTTCCTAATCGTAGGCATTTTTAATAAGTTAGGCGTGATTAATAAAAAAATGTTATGCTGATGTTATTTAATGAAAGATTGTAAATATTCTTGCCTATTATCATTATTTTAGTATTTAAACAGTCATCTAACAATGTTACAAAATCAGGTAAAAATTTCGAACGTGCATTTCCCGTTGTGTATGAGAAGAGAAATCTCGTCTCGATCTCGTCTCGAAATTTTATGAGAAATAAAAAATCTCGTCTCATCTCGTCTCGAACTAAAAATCCAATCTCGTCCATCCCTACTTTTCGCCAACTTTTTGCTAAGGGAATTCTCTGAAATATTTGTTTTTTTTAACAGGAAATATTACACAATTTCTTAAACCAATGTTGATAATGGATATTTTTTACTTTCCCATTGTAGCTTCTAATTTTGGTGAATGAAAAAAAATATTAATCTGACAAAGAATATTCCAAACAAATTGATATTTTATGCTGATTATAGTAGAAAAATCACCCTCATACATGGGGAAACATTTTTTATTAAGCTTTCTCCAAGCCTGAAATCGGAAAACATTAAGAAGCAGTCTTAGTAATTTTCTGCAGGCCAGTTCATATTACAAGGTAAAATATTTATGATGGATACAAATTGATAACACTGTAAATATTAACTATTGTATATACTGTATTGTGACGCAACATTCTAGGGGGTGAATAAACTAGTATTCACCAAAGTCAGGCTAGGCCTACCCCTAGAACCGGCCACACTCAAATTACTTCCCCGGAGTGCTCAAATGGAGCCAAGAAAAATCCAGGGGTCAAATTTATTAAAATTTAATTGAAGGCTCAGAGCTCTAGAAGCGCTCAGGAAATCCTGCAGACACTCAATAGGAGCTATATCATCCCCACCTTGTGTTTTGGTAAATTTTGCCTAACTTTTATAATGACTCTGTAGGGCCGACGAGTATTCAATCTTAGCCAATGTGATATAACTACTTGTATTAAACTTAGATGAAATTGAACCCTACCCTACTAAGTTAAGAAGTATTAATTAACGCATACATACCTTCTCCTGTTCCGGATATTTTAGGCTGTAGTTCACAGGCTGTTCTGCTTGAGCAGCGATCGCCGGAGTGGTGTCTTGCTTTGAAAAGCTACAAAAAAAAATTGCCTATAAATTTAATGACAAGTTTTAGAACAATAATAATTATGATGTATAGAAGATTAAATAGTTTCAACCACTGAAATATTAGTTTTGGTTGATTAAATAAAAAAAAAACACAAAAAAAACATAAGTTTGAATTTTTTCCTATGTTTCCAGTCTCTTTTAACTAGTCCACATAGGCTTCAAGCCTATGCGTCGAATATATCAAAGAAATTGGCGAGCCAGTACGAAGCGAAAATGCAATGTTAATATCTTTGTGGTCAAAGAGGGATGCGAACCCACAACATCAGTGCAATGAATTCATAATTTGTCATACCAACTTATCCCAACTCCCCAAACTTGGCTTAACCTCTACTTTAATTAAATGGACAACAAAACTATCAATGATTGAAATGATTTTTTACCTGATTTTCCAACCTGATTTTTTACAAACTAAAACCATTGACTATTGGATACTGAAGTAGACATCCCATCTATATGGACCAGCTTTAGCCTATTTCTTGTTAAAAAAGAACATAGTTGTGTGAAACAGTCACAAAATGCGCTTGTGACTAAAACTCAATTTTTTTTATACCTAAATTTTTTTGGTGGCCAAGTTGATGGGTCATAACAGTTGCTATAGCTCACAATAAGTCATTCCATTAGGAAAAAAGATTGTGTATTCGGCAGAAATCAGTAATTTAGATCAGCACCATCTGACGGTGGCTCACATCAACTACAATGATTTTGGTCAAAAAACTGGCTACAAATGTAACATGGGGATGAAATGTCTAGATGTATTAACAGTCAAAGCTAAAACTTTTAGGAACAGAATATAAGTATTTATCAGATTAATCATCCACAAAAAAAAAAAAAAACTACATGATAGGATTGTGTAAACAAAGCTAGAATCACTTTCAAAATTTAAAACTGTCAGCATTAAAGACAACAGCATTTAACAACATCCAAGTTATGCATTACCTATATCACAAAATGCTATCATATGGATTCAAGTCAAGGTTGCAAACGTGCATGCAAAAAATGCCTATTCAAATCTTTAAAGCATATCAACACGTTCCAACATTTATGATACTTCACATAAATGCAGAGACAAAAGGAAAGTAAAAGATTTATATTGTTCACTAAAAAAGTTTACAAAAACAATATATTCAGGAACAAGAATATTTTAGGATATTACTCCCTCGCCTAAGAATATTTGAAGTAATTTTGACAAAAAATTAATATAAAATTATTATTTTGTAGATTGGAAAATTTTGCAGCTGAAACCCAGTACGGGTGTGGATATTCTGTATAATTAACTATTAACATTGACTATTGGATACTGAAATACACATCCCATCTGACTAGCTGATGCCAATATTTTATTAAAATAGAAAGTAGTTCTTTGAGCCAGTCACAGATTGTGCTAGTATTCAAAATTTGATTTTCTAACAACTATCTTTGTTGACGAGATAGTTGAGGTAAAAAATGCTAGGGCTTTCAATGAGTCAATTAGGTCATGCATCTGTCCTATAATTTTGATTTGGTAAAGAAGTCTGAATATATAGTAGAAATCAGCAATTTACATCATCCCAAGTCTATCCGTGGCTCACTTAACCCTTTCAGTGCTATGAAACGATATATCGTTGTTTTAAAAAATTTCTAAGGGATATAGAGAGGAAGGTTATTTTAACAAAAAGTAGCAAAACGGCCATTGGTGACCTGCATGTTCATAGGATACACTAACAACCACTTAGCTAAAAGATTCGCCCAATCCGATGATTTCGAGGTGTATGTCTAAACCAAGGATTATGAACACCTCACTATGCCCCAGTGGTTGTAGTATATCGCTACAAACACACAGGTCACCAATTATTTGCCACACAGGACGGGATTCGAACCCGAGCAGACGAATGCCACTGGCCAAGTGACACACGCCCTAGCCTTCTTGGCTATTTGTGCTTGAAGACTGAGGAGTCAAAAACCGGTATTTAAGCTGACGCCACCGATTGCGAACAGATAGCGCTACAGATGGTTGTTCAATGCGTTACTAGGTAGCAGCACCAGTTAGTCACGGACTATTTAGATGATATTTTTTAGTTGAAACACACCAGTGATCATAAATGTGTTCCTGAGACTTTGCTGCAAAACATTAGTTTCCCTAAAATGGCTATATTACGATAACCTCGTCCAACTAAATCAAAGTTAAATTCAATATTACACTGTAAACTCTATGTCTTTTGATTTTATGAGATTTTGGTTTCAAACAATGCTATCAGAACATAAAAATTTATAGAAAAACCAGGAAAATTACAACAAAAACTAAGTTTTATTTCATGTTTACTACAAATACCGGGATTTATCTTTGTTATATACAATATTTTCTTATTGTCTTATTATTCAAAATTAGCCTAATTAATAAAATAGTGACAACATTACAGTTAAAATTCAACAACAGGTAGTGGAATTAAAAGGCAAACAAAAGTCTAAAGAAATATGAATTATTGGCCTAGCACTGAAAGGGTTAAACTACGTCCATTATTGATTATTGACCTAAAAGCTGGTGACAACGTTAACATGGGTTGGAATGTCTGGTTGTATCTATAGTCAAGATTAAGGGTTGAACAGTTTTATAAAAGAGGGCAAAATTTCTATATTTAACGTTAAAAATACACTGGTATAAATAAACAAAAACCAAACACAATGATATACTTACTTTCGTCTATAGGTTACCGGTTGTTCTGTCTCTCCGACTGTTGGCTGTGTCTCTTCGTCGGAATATCTACATTAAATAAAAATGTTCTATAAAGGATGTCGGTAGTCTAATGAATAATAAAACACAAACAAAATAATATTCAAAAGGATGTTTTTACTATTGATATTTGGTCAGTGATAATAAGCCCACGTCCTACCTAATCTTTAAAATTGTGTGATTGACAACCGCAACAACACATAAGAAAGCATGAACAACAAAACACAACATGTTGATGCAATAAAGAGGCAAGAACCTTGTTCTTAAAAAAAGTCATAAGAGCCCTCGCCAACCTTGTCCCACCACAGACTTGCAACCCAGCATTCGCAAACCTAGGAATCCTCACAGTGGTGTCTCTCTACATACTTGAAACCATAAGGTATGTGGATGAAATAAACCCCCCAAGAAACAAAGACCTGCACCACTACAACACCCTTCATGGCTCCAAATTTGCCCTACTCGTTCACCAAACCACTCTTTGGGAGAAAAAAACCTTCCTACACGGGCCGCAAACTGAGGAACCATCTACCTGAATATCTGAGAGACCTGACTGGCAACAAGCTACACCAGGAGTTGAAGAAGTGGCTAATCGCAAGACCCTTCTACTCAATAAAGGAATTTTATATAAATTATGGAAATCAACACGTACAATTTACTATTGTATTGACACTATTGTAATTCATAACGAATGAACAATAAAGAATATTGTATTGTAAAAACAAATTCACTGTGTCTGAGGATATTCATTTTCAGTTCTAAGATCTCTTGAACATTCTAAGACTCGACTTCCATCACCAACAAATCCTTACCTCTTCAATGGTGACTTTGACAATAGAGGAACATTCTCGGTTGAATGCATCTTATTGCTCTTTGGATTAAAACTGCTCTAACAGAACTCATTTTTAATGGCTAGAGGATACCATGAAAGACAGACCATGAACCAAATGTATGGTTTTGAAGGAAAAGTTAAGGCAAAGTATACAGCCTAAATAGCAGAACTCTTTATAGAAGTACAACTGGCTATGCAATGAGGTTTGTTCCCAAAAGATCGGGTCACACTAGATGATATTTGAAAAATTTATAGAAATAGACAACCTCTAGAAGGAGGTCTGATGTGAGCTGCTAAGGTCTGATCCATAGTCTATGTAAGGTAGTGCCACCTGCAAGCAAGGTGTCTGTGAACACCTTGGACCAAATGTTACAAGTGACTTTTTGAACACCAACAATCTTGAAATGTTAAATACGTAGTCGTGACGTTAAGAACGACAGATATGAAGTTGCTCATGACACCATGGGAAACAAAGGGGCGTTCATCACACTAAAAAGTGACATGAAACTTCAATTCACTACATGTGATGACGAGACTTATTCCAACGTCAAGCCAATAGCCTACGTCAATTTGTTACTTTTACCTTTTGTGATGTCATAATGTATCACTTCATCGTGGACAGTCTTTGTAACCAATAGTTCAATTTTTTCGAGAACATTAATAAATTTCATCAACTTCAATGGTTTTCCATCACTGGAAATGAAGAAAAAGAAGCTGCATTCAGCCTTATTGCTGTGTAAAAAATTAGTCTGTCAAATGATTACGTTGTCCTAACACTGGTGATGCTACAAAATCAAATCAAAATAGGCTATGCAAAATGCCAGCATTATCTGATGACTTGTGATTAATTACAAACAAAATTCATCTTTCAAAAAGTTAACTTGGCTATAGGTGTCACTTGGGATGGCGTGTAGAGTCAATTAAAGAAGAAGAGCAACAAGAGCAGAAAATCTGACCACCCATGCTGTCCTACTGAATACGTAAATCAAATGAGATCCAACAGCAGTTTTTGAGACGAATGTACAAAATAACAAAAGGCCAAAGGTGGGGGAATGGCTCCAATTCAAATGTGTAACCTCTTCACAACTCCAGTGATATTATATTATTATATTATATTGGTTATTATTGGGAATTTACGGGAATTACATGAATATTGGTTCCTGTGATTCCTGGTCATCAAAATTCACAAACAATACCCTCCAGTTCCCCCATTTCCTGACTGGCTGGATACCTGATATACAGTATATTATCATAAACCAAAGAGAACCGAACAAACTTACTTCAGACTGTAGTTAACTGGTTGTTCCGTTTGTCCAACTGTTGGCTGGGTTTCATGCTCCGAATATCTGCATTAAATAAATATGTTCTATACAAGATATCAGGCATATCTGATAACTTATAAAACATGACTTGATAGAACAAAAAAAATATTTGAAAGTGTATGTTTATTTGCAATTGATTACTAAACGTAACATTGTCAGAGGCAATCAAAGCTTGATTTAAGATTTGTGTAATAAAATATACTTATACAAATAAATATAATGTTTGGTTGCCATTAATTTGGATTCAGTCACAGAAAGGAAGAAAAATCTGAAGATAAATAACTAATAATCGTGAAACACCTCTAAAATAAATAAAAAACTAAATGTACTAAAAGTACTTACTCCATACTGTAGTTTACAGGGTGTTCACTCTGTACTGCTTCTGACTGACACTCTTGTTTGGAATATCTACATTAAATCAAATAGTTTCCATGCAAAATGCTAGCAGTATCTTACGATAAATTACTAACAAAATGTTTCTTTCAATTTGTAAATTGTATAATAAGCATCAATCAAGATGATGTGTAGGGAAGGACGGAAAACCTCACCCACCACTTTATCCTACTGAATACGCATATTAAGTCAGATCTAACGGCATTTGAGACAACTGTAGACAATAACAAAAACATTTATTACACCATGTTAAATGTGTCCTATATCTATTTGGACTCCCTTTCGACAGTTTAAATAGATTTGTAGATAAGTCATTATTAGTGAAAATTTAAAAAATATCTCTTTTAATTACCGGTACGTTGAATTTTGTGATTAATCACAGAAATGTATGAATGCACAGATTAAAAATTCAGAATTTTTCTAGATTATTGGGCAAAAAATACAAACACACACATTTTTTGGTAGGAAAGTAAAGGTGTGAAAAATTATTTAACACGTTCGCGGCGGCACGTCAAATGGTGGGCGTAACCCAGGTGCGGCGCAGCCCTCAGCATCGAACAAACCCGATTGCCGTGTATGATTGGCTTTCCAATTTCGGTCTGATAAATAGCAAATAACGTGCGAGGATGTCCTGCTTTACAACGAGAGTAGACGTAGCTCGCTAAACACCAACAGATAGCAGCACTGCTTGTAACATAGCCGGTCCCATTGGAATTGTATTGCCAAATGGAGGGAAAAAGACGGGACAAAAGTAGAATTTTGAGATTGCCAGACGGAGATTTTACGGGGAAATTTACTACCAACCTACACCACAACAAAATACAGTATACTATTGAGCAGTGCTGTGCGAGGTTTCAAGTTTCTAGCTCTAATCCTGTCTTAAAAATAAATCATTTTGTACTGCATTGCAGCTTGGGAGCGATCGCACCCACCAGGATGGCATTAGGGTTCCGTATGGGAGCGATCGCTCCCATGCCGCCGCGAACGTGTTAAGAGATAGTAAAAACTTGCATATGAATATTTCATGGGGCTCAGTGTATTAGGGACACAATAGAGATTTTATGCTTTTGAAAGAAAGGAGGCAGCACATTAAATAAGCACAAGCAAAAACAAACACTTATTGACAGTCATTTTAAAGCGTGCATCTACAATATAGCTTTTTTTTTACAAACAGCACTAAAATACCAATTATAACTGAGATCTACTCACTTGAGGCCATAGTTAACCGGCTGGTCAGAAGTAACGGAACTTTCTTCAAGCGTAAGTCTCTCAATAAGTGCCTCAGGTTTTTCTTCTTCCTTGCGTCTGGCTGGAGCCAACTGAAGAACAAACTTATGTTATCATCTCATGGCTAATGTTCTATACTACGACTACAAGAACACATAATGTGGACTGCGATGTACGTCAGAGTACTAGCTCATTGTTTTAAACTTCATAAAATTCATGGCCTTATCATGAACAAAAATAAAACTAGCACTGTGCTCTTTAGTCAGAGACAATTGACAGAAAATTAAAAAGTAAAGACGGCAAAATTTATGGGTGTTGTGCTAGACCCTACTCTTAATTGGCCTAGAACAACAGTTAGGCTAAGTTGTTTATACTCTCAAGCGCTTTCTTAGGCAGGGAGTTAAATGCAGATGGCATAAGACAAGCATATTATTGTAGATTTCATGCCAAAACCGTTATGCAAAGCTTGGAGTAGTCACAATCCTCAAGATTAAAAGAGCTGTACGCACTATTGTTAAGGCCAAGCTAACTTTGTACTCTGTATTATCAATGTTTTGTGTAAATAAAAAACAATATACACTAAGTTAGCTTGGTGTATACAAATCCTGTACATAGTTTAGTACACTCAACTCCTGATTAACACGTTCGCTACTGCAATAGTACGAAATTTTCCATTCACATGGACCAGCGACGCACATATGCGACGGCCGGTTTCCACCCATAGACTGCTGTCGCATATATGCGACGGCTAGTCACATTAAAATAGACTGCCGACGCATATTTGCGTCGGGGTTCTAATGTTATTAAAGTGCTTATATCTTTGTAGTGGTCTATTTGAAGGCACTGAATAGCCTGCAGTGGTCTACAGAGATGTCTGACGCACAACAGCGTCGCTTGGTCTGTGGATATGATGATTGGTGACGTCATATAATAGTTGGAAAAACTGGTCTATACTTTTCTGCATCACTGTATGTATGTATGCAGTATGTATGCTGCATTATCCTATGTAGCTTTTATATTTGTTCAGTTATAAACTGTTCTTGAATAATCTGTTTATTTTTTACTTACTTTTACCTTAAAACACAAAAAAATGAACTGTCGCATATATGCGACGTTTAGTCTATTTTAAGAAAACTGTGATCATTTTCACTATTGTCTTCGCTGTAGACCGGGCGTCGCAAATATGCGACATTACAAAAGGTTATAAAAAATACAAAGAAACAAGAATAATTTATTTACAAACACGATTGTAGCGTATTACAATGTAAATGATCACTGTTTTACAGGTTTTCGCCTGTGGTCTGTGTGTACTGTTATCCAAGTGACAGCCGGTCTATGTGTAAGATTCAAATGTATACCTCGGTCTGTGGCAATGACCGGGGTGTCGCATATATGCGACGCTCAGTAGCGAACGTGTTAACCGTAATCGGATTAACCATGTTGTAGATTAACCAGGACTCGTTCCAGGAAAAATAAGTAAAATTAAATGCAGACCATTTGGTGGTCTTAATTAAGTCAATGTTATTAAACTGCAGGGACTTTTTCTCTTTAGGACCCATCTAAAAAAAATCAGGAGTATTGTACCTTTAAATGCAAGTCAACTGCCACCCTTGGAAATGTTTCAATGCATCGAAACTTTGCCTGTAAGTAAACTGGTCATGTTCTTAATTTATACAGATTAATTATTTCAAAACAAACTAAAACAGGCAAATAATCATAATTACAGGGTGGGAAGAAACTATTACAATGTTCCCAGATTTAAAAATAAATACGGTTGCAGGTCTCTAAAAGTCCTTGTGCCAAAAATGTTCAACAATTTGCCAAATTATTTGTTTAATTCAACCACTTTTAGAGCTTTAACATAGATTCTGGTCTCTCTGTTAGTGAATGTTATCTGAATGTTTAATTTATTATCTATTTATATGCTTGTTTCAGGTGTTAGCTATCTTTGTTTTTGTCTTCTTAGTCATATTTATAAATTTTATAAGGTATTGTTATTTATTTGTTGTAGTCTATTGTGCTGTTTTCATTGCTTGTCAGTAGTACTATTTATTTATTTGTTTTTTTATGTGATTTGGATTTAACTATCAGTGGTTTTCGATCGTTCAATTATACATGTTAATTCTCAATGGAACGTTAGGACACTCAAGGAACTTTGTTGATTGCTGATTGAACTCAACTTTAACTAAATATATTTTCATAATATGTTGGTGCAGACAAGCCTTGTATGGTTTTTGCACCTATTGTATAATATGCATGTATACATTATTATTGTTCAATAAATAGATTGATTGATTGATTGAATTTTTCTCGGATGAAAGGAAGAAAGGGTTGTAGGACGTAAGCAAACCATTAATTGCTCCAACTGCAGACACAATTGTGTAATGAAACAAAAATAGAGTCAAAAAGAGATATTTCTCCGTTCAAAAACAAAAACAAAATAACAGATTATTTTAGAAGAAATTAATTCATTGTTTGTGTCTTGTAAATATTTTATTTGTTCTTAAAACAAATTCTTTGGATTTACCTGTGATATTGTTTTCAAATATGTGTGTTATTCATTGTGATTACTATTAAATACAACATTGAGTTAAGTTCCAATGCAATATGAAAATGTTGATTACCATAATTTAATACTGTTTTGTATTTTAATACCCTTTCCTATACAATAGTATTTTGAGGGTTTTCTGAGATTGTACGTATCTAGGAAGCTTCAACCATACTTTATTCCCATTAAACAGGAGTTAGGTGTAATCTAAAATTAAAAAGTAAAACTAAAATGAATTTTAGTAAAATTTCTGTTGCAGCAAATATAAAAGGAACATGGACACCGCCTAATTTTAAGTAAACTTAAACACATCTTAATGTATGTGATATGTATGTTATTTATTACTTTTTTTAAGGTTGGTGGACTATTTTACCTTGCATTTGCCTGCACGAATTGGTTAAATAGGCTGTGCATGGAACATATTCAGCAAAGCAAGGGGTTAGCCGGTACAGTACAAAGGTGAACTTTACTGATAAAAAGTAGTGGTAGTGATAAGGATCTGAACCCACAACATCGCTGCCATAGGCAAAAAATCCGTGGCGCTACTGACTCGCCAAAATTGACTTGCCTATGCATTTGTGCAAAGTATCTTTGGCAAAATCTAATCTCATCATCAACCTACTATTTTTGAGAATAAAAACTTCTCCACAAAAACAAAATAGGCTAACTTAACGTTTTGTAAGTTTAAAATAGGAAAAAAAGAACACTTACAGGTTTGGGTTCAGACTCTAAATCATGCCTTTTGCTTGGCCCAGGTATCTGAAGGGATCCAGAACGATGGCAGACAGTGGAGCGTTGGCTTCTGTCAAAGACATTCTCTGACTGGGTGCTGGTAACGGACTCGCGACTGTCCCACCTCTCCACTGCTTCTATGTTGTCGCAAGTCTCTGTCAATGTGGAGTCCAACTCCTGTTCAAGTGCTCGACGCTTGCGAACCAGCAAGGATGGCAATCCTGAATGAAATTAATAAATGAGTTTCACAGCAATAGTTAAACAAATTAGAGTGTAACTCTTACTACAGAATATAAATCTCACTGAGCAAACAAACACATTGTCTTTGAATATGCCAGTGTCTACACCCACAGAGAAGTAAGGAACAAAGGATATAGACCTACTCCATAGTACAGTAAAGTGGTGTCTAGCACTAGTGTTGGTATCCAAGGCAAAGTCCAACACCACTCCCCTCACCCTCACGTACTACAACGCTTACGGTGGAGTAAAACCCTGTACCCTGTGCAGTAGGAATTTCTGCACAGTACTCGCCATTCAGGCACATTTTTGCTCGTCACAAGTATATTTCCGGCAAAATATACTAAAGCTTAAAGCGCACGGTTGTCCCAGAAGCGTGTTTCTTCCGTCTCTTACTCTCTGTGCTATACCAGAACTCAGGAGCACTGTGATGTTTTTAAGTGTACATGTCACTTGCCTAAATGATCAGCTGATTGCATCGTCATGACACAGTTCCCTCTCCTTCCGCCCCAAGTCTGGCCTAGCTTGTCACCTAGCAACAGCAGCGCTCCTAGATTCTGATGTGGACAGTAGCAGATTCAAACACAACTTTTTCGGCTCAGTGAAAGTTCTGTTGGTTCTTTATTCAATGCTCTCAACAAATCTTTTGAACCAACAAGAATGGCAATCCTGAAGTTAACACAATGCGTTTTACAGCTACAGTTTCAAAATTAATTTAGAATTTAAATCTTGGTCTCAAAAGTGTTCTGACGAACAAGATTGGCATTCCTAAAATCAATACCTTGAGTTTTACAGTTATATTTTTGTCAGTCTTCCATACAACGAAACATCTGCTATCAATCTAATTCTCCATCACACAAATCATATGTTTAAAAATTAACATTTTCTCATAGTAGACCAACCTCTACTGGCGCGGTCCATGACGTCAGCTTCTGGCCTGGCAGCCATGAGGTTCTTAAGCGCAGCTGAGGATCCCATGCTGATCATCTTGTGTTTGGAGTGGACTAGCGAGCGCAGCATGGGCACAGCTCCCAGCTCCCATAGAGTGCGTTGGTCCTGGGGACATCGAGCGCTCAAATTCCACAGTGTTCCACACGCGTTGGACACAACTGTCAGTGATGCTGACTTGAGTTGCTGTAGCAACAGCGGGATGCAGTTGTGTTCCCTCAGGATGGCCCTGGAAACAATCACAATCTATTTAGTATACATCAGAAAAATGTTCTCTCAAGCCATGACGAAATTGGAAAAACCATTCTCACTCTTCATTGAATCGAAAGATAATTAAATAGACATAGACATAGAGAACACACACACATAGAGACATAGAGAATAACTTGCTTATGAAAAGTTGTGCAGGGATAATGGAATGGGTATGTCAAATTTCCTCCAAAGATTGAAGTTGTGGATGACCGACAAATATGAAATATTTTAGAGTTTTTTAAAAAGACAAGGATTATAAACAAAAACTGATGGGAAGGTCAGCACTTTAATTGTACGAAAAATGGATCTGCATGACTGTCTAAATTCGACATTGAAGATTAATCTGATGGTTTTTTTATTGTTTAGGATAACCTCTTGGTTTCAAGGTTTCCTCTTAGTTTAAAAGTTGACTGTATATTAACCCCCCCCCCTCCCCACCCTTCTGAATTGTAGATAAATAAGGCATATTTAAAAAAAATCTTAATCTACAAGGATTGTAAATAAATTTAGGTCTTCATCAAGATCCCACTATGATCAAATGAGCTAGCTTAGATCTGAGAACAAATCCATATAATCAATTTAATTTATTCACTACAGTTTCAGCTGATTCCTACCCCTACGGAACAATTAGTCTTGTCATAGTAGCCGACAATGGGAAAGAAAATGAACACTCCCGCCAAGTATTTTATAGCCGATGCGCAACCATATGGAACAATTGGTCTCGTCATAGTAGTCATGTGAAAGAAAATGAACACTCCCGCCAAGTATTAATTACATTCTGTGATAAGATTTCTGTGGGAAGGTGTCAAACTTATTGAAAGCCACCGCTATTTGACCTACATGTATGCAGGTAAATGTTGACATAGAAAACATGCACAGATGGCTGTTGTATTTTCACAAGGCCAGTAGCTTACATTCATCAGTTTCTAACATGTCAGTGATTAAAGGTATGGATACTTCCAAGACGATTGGCATGTTTAACACTACCATAGTATCCCGTAGTCCTTGACAGTCTTAAAGTGACGTCCCTATCTATCAGCAGGTACATAATACCAGATGTTTCGTCACATAGCGATTGGCATGCAAAATCCCTCTAACTTCGGTCACTGCCAGCGAGACTAATGAATGACCACAGCCAGCATACACCCTGCTTATGACAATCTCTGAACTCCATTCACTCCTTATGTTCATGTTCTACGTCCAAACACTTTACCCCACGTCCTTCAACTTCTAGTGGGTTTCAATAGTGATCATAGTCAATGGCACAAGACTAGTGATTATTGACACTTGTTGACGTCTACTGTACAAGATTTTAAAACTTCTTTATCCTAAAAAAATTCATACTTCTTCTCTGTAGTACAAGCAGTATTAACTAACGTAAAGTTTCCTTCAAAAATAAACACTGAATGAACAAATAGGGTTAAGTGATACAAGATGTCAATAGTTATAATTTCTAACCTGTAGTCTTCTCTAACGGCTATATGACTAGATATGTTTCGGAGAATTCCTCCAGCGTTTTCAACTATGGCAAGGGTTTTGGAAGGTGCGTCAAGGAACCTCAACATCTCCACTAGAAACTTCAAAGATCCTTTCACTGCACAAATGTCAGCCTGTAAAAACACGTTAGGTATTAGGACATCCAACATCAAGTAAAAACATTGTTTACCAACTGAAACAAGAGAAAGTTTATTTTTATGGTTCATTTTGGGTAGTGACAGAGAAGTCAAAAGGAATGTTAACGTAGTCAATTATGCAATCTTTAAAAAAACTGTATCATAATGGACTTTGTCAAACAAAGATTAAAAGGCTTAGCTTTTTTGATTTGCTAAATAAGTTTAGTATAGCAATCCAAATCAATAATAATAGCTTTTAAATACAAAATTTAATACTTGTTACCCAAAGATACCACGGATTCATTACTTTTCTATAAAAAGAAATTACTAAAAAAAAAATTTATGAAAACCACATCAATGTTGTAAAAGATTTGTGATGGGAATGGCAAATTCATCTTAAATTAAGTTTCACTTTATACTAAAATTAAAATGTGGTGTGAACAAAGTAGACCTTAAAATAGAATATTGACTTTTATATACTGAAATACACATCATACCTAAATAGATCAGCTGTAGCCAATTTTTTATATTTAATAAGTTAGTGTATGAGTTGTAGCTGAATGAGACCATATCCTTAAATGAGCCACTTAGTGTGCAACAATCTAATATTACTTAATAGTTATTTGTGCAACTAGTGACCAAAGGGAGCAATTGACTCACTCGAGAGAAATACTTACTGTGGAATGTTTTCTCGAGTGAGGCAATTGCACTTTGCACTCGAGTTGCACATTATATTTTTCCTACAGTTACCATAAAACAAATAAATTGGTAAAGAACCGTGACATATTTTTACACAGAAGTGAACTTTTAATATTACATTTCATGATACAACAGTACAACAGCTGACCAGCTGATTTACAGCCAGTGCTGCCAACGTATTTCGCACGCATACGACCTTGTCTGCATGTTACACGCTCACTATTTCGTGCCTTCACGTTGCAAATCTGGAGTGAGTGAGACAAAGTAATTAGAGTGAGACAATGTTAACATTGTCTCACTGATGAGCAAATTGGCCACTTTGCTTTCTCAAATCAGTGAGAGAACATGTAGGCCTACATTGTTAGGTAACTGTAGGAAAATGCTATTTTCTCCCCTAGTTTTTGTAACTGTAATAGTTCAAGTGACATACAAATTGCAGTTACAACAAGTTGTCCTTTCAGGTTAGCTTTTTAAAACTTGGTGATTTGTCAGAAACTAGTTATTCTCATCAGCACAACCAACTGATAAACTGACTACATCTTGATATGGGTATACAATGTCCAGTTCTATTGTTAAAAGATTAAAGGCTTATGTTCTGCCTACCGGACATCGGTTTAACCAGACTACACTCGGCGGAAATGAAATATCTTTAACCGACAAGTTCTAACAGCACATCAGTTTAACCGGACTATATTGGCAGGAAGTGGGCGGTACTGAAACGACTGTTCTCGTGGGAAAGATTTAAGACATGTGACCACGTGTCTAAATACAATGCTCTCCTAAATTTAAGTCAAACACTCTTTACAGTATGCATTTAAACGTTCCGTTTTAACGAGTTTTTGGGGACGTCGGTTTAACCGGAAACCCCGTTATCCGGACTGGCGTCGGTCCGGAGTCGTCCGGATAAGCGGGAGTCTACTGTAGTTCTTTTAACACAAAAACACACACACAACACAAACACGTAGTGTTTTTGTGTTAAATGAACTATGACGAAGCCATTTGGTATATAACTCTTCACTAGTGCTCGGCTGAAGATGACACAGTAGTGTCAATCATAATAATTATCTCCAGCTCAGGGGCATAACGATGAATTCAAATGTAAATTGCCTATGACAATAAACTATTTGATTTTATTGATTTGACTTATATAAAGCACTTACTTTGTTCATGTTACAGTGTGCAGACAGGTTCCACAAGGCAGATAGGACGGACTTGATGGTTGATTCTTTCTTGACGTCCATCGCCGTTACCATGAGGGCAGTGCAAGCGTCCACCTGGCGCAGCGCTTGCTTGCTCTGGGCGTCGGCTCTCCAAGACAAGTTACGTAGAACACTTGCGGTCACCTACACATGTGAACAATTGTTGTGAACTTTGAGGTTAGGTTTTGGAAGAGCACATAAGAATGCATTAAGGAAGAAGGAATGGATACACAATGACATCACAGGAGAAAATAGGTTCCTGACAGTAAAAATAAAATAAGTTCAAAAAACAATTAATTTGATATTCTGCTTTTACAAGGGAGTTTCTTTAGAAGAGTTAGTAGAAATTATTTTTACTTTGTAGAGATGAAATACATAATTGATTGTGTTGGATTTGAATTCTAGAGTTTTATTCTTTTTAATTTTACAATACTAAAAATTATTTTTAGGGGTGTGCAATGCATTGAAATTCCCATTTGATTGGATGAATCGAATCGCAATTTGATTCAGTGGTGATCAAAAAACTATTCGATTCATGAGGGAGTCAGTACCCATATACGAAAAACGCCTGCAGAAAGTCAATGCAATACCCGCAATACAGGAACACGTTGTTGATGCGTTTCCTTTCCGAAGGCATTCTTATTTTTAATGAATTCTTTGCTTGTAAATATTGCTTTTAACCCTAGAGCTGGCAATAGTGTAATGCTGTACTGGCACAGGGATATTATTGATTATGTAATATCATTTTTAAACCATTATAAAAATTAGAAATAGCAACATAACTATGGATTGTTATATATCATTTTGTTCAGAATAAGACAAAAAACAATAATATAGGTGGTTCACATGGTTACCAAAAAAAAAATTTTTTTTAGTTTTTTTTTTCAAATTGTAGGCATTATTATTATTTTTTTTATGTTTTTATATTCCGTCGTATAGCTAAGTAGATGTAAGACTTATCATCATAAGGTAAATTGTAAAGTTGTGATAAATTTTGTGCTGATTCCAAAAACATATAGTTTATATAGCTTATTTTGTGTATTTTGTTTGATAGCCCTATTACTATGTCAATCGTACCCTCGCACTAGTACCAAATAATCATCCAACCCAGGTCATGTACAAAATCGTACACCTTATATAATATATAATTCCAGGGTACTCTGGTTTGTATTATTTAACTTATTTATTACAACAGTAGACCTAAAAAGTGAACAAACCTAAAAAAAAAAAAAAAAATTATATATAGGCCTACCGTAATACCTGCATTGGCGCCGTATATCCGGCGTTGCCATTTCGGCCGTGGCCGTTCGCGCCGTATATCCGGCCTTTGCCAGTGCTAGGGTTAAGGGTTTTATAATTTTTTGTTTTACAATGAATTGGTATGACGTTTTGTTAAGTGTAAGCAGTGTGAGACATGTTTTACTTCTGTAAACATAGCCAAAACAAGTCACTCCAAAATCATTCTAAAAATAACACAAAGTCTGAAAAATTGTTACTTGATACTTAAAGATTGATGTTTTAGACTGATGAATTTAGTATTTTTGTAGTTCTGCTATGAATACCTTGTAGTTTGTAGGTCTGATTCTATCTTCTCATTTTATCAATGTAAACCAATTGTAAGTTTCAGTATTAATCTTGCAAATGTTTTTAGGATTTGTTAAGAGATTAGCAGGCTTACCTGAATGGGACAGAATGTATATAGTGTCAAGTTTTGTATTTCCTGTGCCAGTTTGGACTCTTTCCCATTCAGGTAAGCCTGCTGTTCTCTAAAAAAGTCCTAAAAACCTAGGTCCTTGTGATCTATGTTACACCCTTAACTTGCAAATGTTTTTATTTGTTTACACCAAAACTTATCTTTATTTGTAAAATCAATATTATAAAATAGATAACATGCTTAACAATATGATTCTGCAAGTAAAAGTTATGAAATAGGCAAGTAAAACAGCTCACTGACATAACATTATTATTTTTATTTTAAAGACTGCTCAGAGAAGATACCTTGTGCACTCGTTTGAAGATGTTCGCTGGTATGGCACAATAAATTATTTAATTTAATTTGAGCAAAAATGTTTAATTAACAGCAATTTAATTGCGCCCGTTATGAAAGTGCTAAGAGCTGTTATGAAAGTTCTAATTTAAAAAAAAGAGGTTGATGAGAAACATCATTCATTCATTCAAGGAAGTACAATACAAGAAGGAATCAGTAAATTTTAAATGACATCACCGACAACATCAATTCCTCGCTAAGACAACCTGTCAAGCTTCTGACTAAGTCAAGGCCTCATCGATTCTTAAGTTTCTTAAGTCAAGGAAAAGGATTTTGTTAAATTAAACTGAATCAAACAATCAAAAGTGGAATTTTGAGAACCCCACCGGCTAACTCACTCGTGCTTAAGTAATTCATCAAATCTCGCCTACCAGTTCTAGTCGCCCATTTAAGCTTAGGCGGCGCTACACAATGCAATACATAGCAAGCTTACTAATGCATTGCTTAGCCTGTGGAAGGGACCATAGTAAATAAACAGTGTTTGGCTTGGGCGGAAGTTGGTGGCAATAGTAATTAATTATGAATTGTACACAACACCTGTTTTGTTTCTTTTTAAAAAAAGGATAGAGGACACAAATTTATTTTAACTTTGATTTGATTGAATATGGAAATTTCATGTTTTGCATATGAAACTGTATTGATTTTTGATCATAAAAAGTTCCAGCATCAAAATGTTTAATTTGCTGAAACCCCAAATCTTAAACCAGCCTAAGATGTTACCTGTCTAAGATCTTCGCTAGGAGACTGCAACTGCCCGACCAGAGCAACGAGAAACCCTCTCATAGAGCACAGTAACGCCTTGTTGTTGCAGTCTCCGAAGGTGAGGTTTGTGAGGGCCATACCTCCGTAGCGTCTGACCGTCACACAGTCGTAGTTGCTACTTTCAGCACCGTGAGCCTCATTGTCCACCTAAGATACATTCAATATTGTGAGATAAATCTCTCCTAGAACATGGTAACCTTGTTGTATCAAATGTGAAGTGAGCAAAAGTGTGCGAGGCCTGTGTGGCACATCAGCGCACAACTGCACTCTATAGACCAGTTGCACCAGCAGAAGACAATCTGCATAACACGGGAACATCAAATAGTGCAGTTTATTATTTACTTTAAGTCTTGTGATGTAGTGAAAAATGCATATTTAGTCTTACGATGGAATAGTTTGGACAAGGATTTGGTCTTGTAATGATTGTGTTGAAACTTAAATTATTATTTACTGTATTTAGATTTCTAATTCAAGGTAAATCAAAAACCTCAGATAAGCAATTTGGTGATATTGAATCTATTGTTTGACTTTTAATAACTGTTATTTACTTGAACACAAATTAAAACCTATTGTTAGATGTTTATCAACAGAAACTCTACAATAAATATTTAGGGATGGACTGTACATTAAGTTTATGACGAGATTTTTATTTCCTTCCTAATTTTTGGAACAAAATGAGATGTATATACCTCTGCAACTAGAAAACACAAGTTTGTTATTTTTAATTTGGGTAAAATTCTTGCATATGGCAAAAATAACAAAAAAATCAATTTACGTTCTTTATTGTTCTGTTCTATGCCATCATCACTATAATTTGTGATCACAGCTCTATCATTAATATCTCCTGTGATCGTAGGGACGTCAACATCGTCAAACACAATGGCAAACAAATTGTGAACATCTCAAGATTGTGTGGACAACATCACCATTTCCCGCAATAGCAACGAAATTGAAGACATTTTCACGATTGCAGTCACCACTTGTGATCACAGTAAAATTTCTAACATTTGGAAAGAAACCCGTCTTGGAAAATTTCAAATTAATTTAATCACACCCGAATAATACTGGGAACATATTTTTCCTGAATCCCCCAAAATTTTGAGAGCCGTCCATCCCTAACAACACTTCAAAAAGTTTAAGTTATTCACAAATTTGAAATATTGCTACAACTATTTTGTTACCTTACAATATCCTTGTTTGTTGTTGGCAAACTTGGCCTACATGTTTCATGGCAACTACCACATCATCAGGTTTATCCTCTTCTCAAGTTCGTCATAAACTTAAAATAGAAAACACAGAACAAGAGTATTCTGCGTTTTCTATTTTAAGTTTATGACGAACCTGAGAAGAGGATAACCCTGATGATGTGGTAGTTGTCACAAAACATGTAGTTTACCAACAACAATCAAGGATATTATAAGGTAACAAAATAATTTGAGTAATATAAAGCAATATCCAGAAGTAGGACTATGAATTCTGATTGAAATAATGATTTTCTAAATAACAAGGATACTCAGGAATTTCAAGGAAGGAAGGAAGGACCTTGGTGCTGCAGATAAGGTTTTCAATGGGTGCCATGGTGTCTCACCATCAAACAGTCATGGTTGTCATTTCTAGCACTGTGAACTTTATTTTCAACCTAGATTAGGTTAGATTAGATTAGATACAACACACCAGGGTGTGCATTTTAATGCTAAGATGAGTGAATGATGAGAATTGAATGAATGAGATGACAGCTATGTCATAGAAAAGTTAACATTGCATTATTTCATTACCGACTGAGATGAACTTGCTTTTTAGTCAGGTGATGATCAGTTATCATCAAGATCAGCAAATTCAGCCTTGATTTATAGAAAAGCATTTGACTTTTCTCACAATCGAACCGGCGAGCTTCTAACTACCAGACGAGCTTTATTTCCCACTTTTTTGAGCTTTTTTTGAGCTTTTTTATTACTCTATCTAGCTATTCAATACATTGCTAGTAGAACTCTCTGGTGGAACAAAATACTATTGGTCAAGACCAGAAATTTAAAATCTTGAAACCAAAACCGAAACTTTAAAAAATTTGAATCCTGAATCTCAAATCTCAAAACCTAAACACAAAACCTTTGAGACCCCCACCTATTTGAGATGCCTTTTGAAGTTCAGAATACAATTTACTTGTTTAATTACTGTTAATATTGCTACCAGCTTATGTGAAAACACTGTTGAAAACAATAATAATGATGCAAAAAAGTCAGCAGTTTCAAAAATAAAACTGCCAAAATCTTCAACTAATTTAGAAACTTTTGAATCTTAAAACCGAAACTTTTCCAAAGTTTGATGGTTTTGAGATTTGAGATTCGGTTTTGACACATCACTAGAACACAGAGGCGACTCCCTATATCAATCTTAAAGAATCATAATGTGAAGAGGTACATAGAGAACATGCCCAGCAGACTTGTGCTTATCAGCTGATTATTATCCAAGTATTTTGTTGGTGACATGAAATAGTTATTTGTGTAACTAGTGGGCTCGGCGGGTGCGGAATGATCTCGAGTGCAGCAAAGGCCATTTGCACTCGTGTTACACATTATATTTTTCCTACAGTCACTATAAAGCATATAAATAATTAGTCTTTCAAACACTATACAACAAGTTTTTAGGTTCAGCTGGCAACACAAATAGGTGCCCTAGAGAAAGTAGTACCCGGTCCGTATCACTCCGCTAATTTTCCTCGGCAAGAAATGTGCTCCGCGACTTGAGAATATAGTTCCGTATGTTTTTGTAATTTGAAGTGGTTTCCGCGCCAAAAAAAATTCTTTAAAGGTATTTTCTTGTTTATTAAGATCGTTGGAATGTTTTAAAAACGTTTAAAAGAAAAGTCTAGAAAGTACAGAAATACCTAAACTATAAACACAAAACGACAGGTTAAATTGTAGTTGTAATAGTCAATCAGCTGCTCTTAGTATTATTATCTTTAAGTGTTGCTAACCTATTTCCAAGCGTACACGGATTACGTGCATAGAACAACGCTGTTTTGTGTTGTTTCGTTGGAATCCTGATGTGCGCCAAAGTATAAACAGTACGACAAAGTATAAATATGCAGCAATTAGCAGCTTTCTGTACTATAAACAGTACAAGGAAGCCAACTTTGTCGGGTGACTGTAGGAAAAACAATTAATTAAAATATTGCTTTTCATTTTACATTGTGTTTATAAAATAAAAACTATTCTAGACACATCTACATCAAGAAAACAGTTGAATAGGTAAGGCAATTGTCAATATTTATAAGAGAGCTATGAGTATGAAGGGTGAATTGCACAATCCCCCAAATTACTATTACCCTAGTCAACAGAAGTTAAAAGCTGATGAAATGATAGCAAAACAAATTAATAAGGAAGTTTGCAACACATGTTCAATAATTTATGGTTAAAGATTTCTGTTACTAAACAGTCTAATTCCACTTTCCTTGAACATATTAAAGGCAATTGCTTTGTTATCATTGGCTTTCCTCAATTGTGACCATGATGTACATAGATGGTACAGTTTAAAGAATTTGAAATGAAAATGAAATGAAATGAAAATCCTTCTTTATTGAGGCGAACTTAGGACCTCACGGTCCTTTCTTACAGTTAACCTCTAGAAAACTAACAATACTGATAAACATTAACAAAATAAAACAATTAAGATTGAAATAAACAAATAGGTGTAACATTACATAAATGCATTTCCCTAACACACAATCACACACGCATACACCCTCTGCTGCACCCAGGCCTAATGCACGCCATCCCGCCACGCCACGGCCATCCGGTTAAGGTAATATTATTTCAGCGCCACCGTCAGTCGGGATCGGCTTTCTAAGGATTTAATGGGATAAGGTACAGAGTTCCAAAGGCGGCATGCAGTTACTAAAAAAGATTTGTTGTAAAGAGTCGTCCTGTGATGAGGAATACGCAGCGTGGACGAGCCAGAGCGAGTATTCCCTGCGCCTCTTTCACGCAAAAATTCAAACTTGTTGGCTAGATAATTTGGAGTTCCAAGATTAATGGCTGAATGAGTAATTGAAAGTATTCGGATGTTTCTGATGTCATCTAATTTCAAAATTGATTCATTTATATAATATGGTGTGACATGATCGTCACGTCTAAGATTGAACAAAAATCTAATGCAGTAATTTTGAACACGTTGTAATTTTGTAGCCAAAGCCACAGTCATGTCATTAACCACCGTGTTGCAATAGTTGAAGTGTGGAAATGCGAGTGATTTGACCAGTAAGAGTTTAATATGAAACGGTAGGAGTCGTTGCATCTTTTTCAGTGTGTGAATGGCTGCAAATACTCTTTTACAAGTATTTACCACCGCGTCAGTCCAGTCTAATGTGCGGTTTAATGTCAAACCAAGACTTTTTACTTTGTCTTGATATGTCAAAGTGGTTCTGTTCACGGTAAGTTTTGGTAAATTGTCTACATCAAGTGTGCTAAGTAACCGTGGGTGGATGATTGGCTTTGTTTTGTCAGGATTGAGTCTTAGTCCATTCTCTGCTGCCCAGTGAGCAATGTTGTCGATGTCTTGATTCATTAAGTTTATAGTCTCATTCGTATGACTGACTTTAAAATGAGAGTAGATTTGCAAGTCGTCAGCATAAAAATGAAACTTTACGTGATGTAGTACTGTAGTTATGTCATTTATGTATATTGTGAAAAGCAGTGGACCAAGAATTGAGCCCTGAGGAACTCCACAGGGAACATGTTTCCAGTCGGACGTCAAGTTGTCATGACACACACACTGCTTTCGGCCCTGAAGATATGATCTCATCCATTTTAATGAATTGTCAGAGAATCCTATAAGCTGGAGTTTGGTTAGAAGAATGTTATGGTTTACTGTGTCGAAAGCTTTACTGAAGTCAAATAATGTCAAAATGGTACATTGGCTACGGTCCATAGCAGATCGTATATCATCAGTGATATGAAGCATTGCTGTTTCTGTGCTAAAATATTTACGGAAACCTGACTGAAATATATTAAGAATATTGTTTTGTGACAGAAAGTCAGACACTTGGGAGTGAACAACTCTTTCTAGGGCTTTAGAGAGAGCAGGAAGAATGCTTATTGGTCTGTAGTCTTGCGGAAGCGATGGGGATGAGATCTTATTCAAGGGACGGACTAGCGCAGTCTTCCAATTTTCTGGGAAAATGCCCAATCTCAGTGAGGTGTTGAATATGAAAGTTATTGTTGGGAGGAGAGCAAACAAGATACGTTTGATTAAGGAAATTGGGATTCTGTCAGAACCAGTGGCATCAGACGTTATCCGTCTTATAGCCTTCAAAACATCAACCTGCAATACTGGCTTAAAGTTAAATTGAGGAATATTAGGCAATTGACGTAATTTTAACTCAGTTAAATGGTTCTAAACTATTTTACTGTTTTCATGTGATGATACTGATACGAAATAATTGTTCAATTTGTACATTGTTGAATTTGTACATTTATCTGAGTAATCGCAATAAAAACGCTTCCAGAATAAAGTATAATTTGTATGTGCGAGTCAAGAATTAAAAAAATATTACTTTGTCATGATTTCGTCTTAAAAGCTTTAATTACAACAAAACACACAACAAAACTAGACTTATTTACAGGTTTTCCATAAGGTTTAAACCTACAAGGTTTTGCATGGTTAAGTTTGTAATTTATTACAATTGCAATCTTCACAATGAAACTCTGTCATATCACTAATGTTGTGAAACTGTGTCATATCACTAATATGGTATACATTATGGCCTTATTGCAGATTGCCATCTTTAGAGCAGTAACAGAATACACTGGTAGATGGATATATTCAACGAGACCGAAATATCAGCACAACATCCATTAATATGAACTGGTTTTCCTGAAGATTGTGATAGCGTAATAAATTGTAAATAAGAATGTATAGAAGAATAAATGTTAAAAAACAAATAAATCAAATCTGATACAATGGAAACATGATTTTTTCACCTGAATAAGACATGCGATGGCTTGTAGAGCTCCTAGCTGACACATGGCTTCACGATGATCTCCGTCGAAAGAAAGCTTCATCAGCGCAGCTATGTGTACACAGGGGTGTGGGTCTTCTGCGAAAATATTAGAGGTTGTTAGGGTTGCTTGAAGTTTGAACTGATTGTCAAAAAGTCTGAGAAAACAACAAAATTCTCCAGAGTGTTGGATATTGTGGTTGTGCAGACTAAGACTATACAGACTTGCTAATCCTTCACATTCAATTATTGGACATATATTAAGACAATTTTTTAACAGAGATAGACGAGATTGGCAGGATTGCTCAATTGTTGCTCAATGTCGCTTTGCCAGTAAATCAGTGAACTTTGAAAATTATTTTGAATGCAAACTCATAACGTCCACAAAGATTTCCAGACTTACTTCAAATTTGGTGTCATAATGGCCAGGAGATTAAATTAAAATAAATTGATTTATGCCATCAGATTTGTTTATTTTTTGCGATTAAAGAGTTTTCTTAACTAGTAGAGCAAAACGTATGACTCCCCGACCAGGCAACCTGGTCTATGCACCCCCAAGCGAACACAATACTTAATACTTATTACTTGTATCCTTCATAGATGACCACCAATGTCAGATAGATTGTGTCAATGTACATTTATAACACTACTGTATACATAGGGGCCTACAGAATTTTTTGTCCTAGGTTGCTAGGCACGAGTCCGTCATTGTTCTTCATATTAATTCAGCACCTAGGGTTTGCGGCATCATCACTTAGATAAAATCCACTGATAATTTGGTGGGATTTTAACCAGGAACCTCAGGGACCAAAGTCCTGCGCTGTAACCCCTAGCCCAGCTTTCTCTTCTTGTATTTATGTACAAAGACAAATAAAGATAATTGATTGATTGATTGGCTCAAAGGATAAGGTAGATCAGTAGACTGGTTTGTGCCACTCTGGTTTGCATTATGGTATAGTTTGGCTTTCTGTGCAGCATTTTATTCACCACAGAAAAGGTCTGAAGCTTCAAACATCAAACTCACCTTACCATAAGCAAATCAACCATGCTTTAAACAGGTGATTACTATCATACAATATAATGGGGAGCGAGCTGGTCTAGTGGTAGAGCGTGGGGCTTCTGACCCAAAGGTCCCAGGTTCAAATCCCGCCAATCACTAATGGATTTTATCCATGTAATAATTCCATGACCCTCAAGGACTAGCCTGAAGTAATGTGTAAAACAAATCCAGGCTAGAAACGCTTCCTAGAATGTGAACGTGGGATATAAAATAAAAATCATAGAATATAATTTTTTTTTTTTATACACCATTAAATCTTAAATATCAGACTTTGCCATCAATCGTTACATTAGTTACCCACAATTACAGCAAAATCGTAAGCAGCTCCTGCAATCACAAGTACATCATCATTGTTCAATAAGAAAGGAACTAGTTACCTTGGCCAGGTTCTGACTGAAAGGAAGTGAGGTTGCTGCAATATTCCTGAATGTGCTCTACTAGTCGCAGCACTCTAGCTTCTCTTCGTCCCTTCTTGTCGTCCGTATGGCAGTGCACCAGATTGTGCAAGGCCTGCGCGGCGCATCGGCGCACAGCTGGGCTCTCCTGACCTCCGTGCACTAGTTGCACCAGCAGGGGAAGACAACCTGTGCCACACAAAAGGTCAAACGGGGCACTTCTTTATTTACTTTTGAGGCCTTTAACCTATTGGCATACGGAAAACCCTACCAACTAAAAATTTTGCTAAGGACCTGAGGCTGGAGGAGGTGCTCTAAGAAACCCAGGAGCCATGAACCAGGGGGAGCTACACTACATTTTGAAGGCTACAGAACTAATTCTTTTCATTCAGTATTATCAGTACTGATACGGATACATTATTGACTCATTTTGAAAGGTTTTCATTTTAAAACCGAGAGAGAGAGAGAGAGAGAGAGAGAGAGAGAGAGAGAGAGAGAGAGAGAGAGAGAGAGCAAAGTTAGAATGATTAGTAACTAATAGGGATCGTAACTGATAAGGTGTTAGTAGGGTAAGGATATAGAGGGGTTCTACCATAGACAAAAAGAGTTAAATATAGACCGTCAGCTGTGTTGCGGTTACCATTGGTTCTGGCGCACACCGCTGGGATCGCCACGGTAGTTACAGCGTACGCGCTACGTAAACTACAGCGGTGTGCGCCGGAACTTATGGTAACCATGGTAACCGCAGCACGGCTGACGGTCTATATTTAACTCTTTTTGTCCATGGTTCTACTGACCACTGAAGAGATGCCGTAATATGAGGATACTCACCGGATTGCCTCATGGCAAGACAGCTCTCGGGTGAATTACTGAGGGAAAGCAGAGTTCGTGTCATTTCACTGCGGTCCTGTGAGCCAAGCATGCTAAGGAGACTGTAGACCATTTCGACTTTAGCACCAAGTTGATGGGTGCTGTAGCTCCTCGGTCCCATACTTTGTAGCTCCTCTTGCTGAAATACCAACCATACTTTAACCCTTTGAGCTCAATGATAGGTTTTATGTGCCGTCAAATAGTCTAACAATCATTTTGACTGCTTACATGTTTTACTGCAAAAACATTTACACAAGCTTGCAATTCGTCAAAAGCACAATTATAACAAACACAACACAAAAATAAAAACACGAACATTAGATTATGATATATACACACAAATATATTATCATGATAGCACAATCTAAATGTTTGTGTATCCGTGCAATTTATATTTGTTGTGTTTTTGACAAATTGCAAGCGTTGATTAGTTTATTAAAGCATTGTTGAACTGTTGAGGGTTACAAAGAAAATTAAAAAAAGTGTAAATTCTGGATTCCTTTGTAATTTTTTGGAGAGTTAGTAAACTAGTTTACTAAGGTAGTAAACTAAAGCAAGTTTACTGCTTTAGGTTGCATGCTTATGGATGAATTTTTATTAAATTTGGAAAATGTATTATTTCATACTAAGCCATTACCAGTGTTGGGAAGTAGTGCGCTACAAGTAGCACGCTACAGTAGCGTGCTACTTTTTTGTAGCATTAGCTGTAGCTAGCTACATTTTTAAAGTAGTTGTAGCGGAATTTTAGCTACTTTTCTCGCTACATTAACATTGTTTGAGATAGTGATTTTTATCATAACCTCAACCTTACGTGAAACAACCTCTTTCAATATCAAACTGAGATTTTCAAAAAAATTAGGCCTACTTTCTTGGCTTCATACAGCTGGTTGCAGCCGTTTCATTCCCTATTACAACGTTGTGTGGACATGGAGGCCATTAAATGAGTGTTATCCAAATTTTTGGATCTCATTTCCTTAATTTACTACTCTATGATTACTGTCAGATAAAATAAAATCGCTAGATGCAGACGACGTTTAAACGTTACCGCTGACAAGAGAAGCTATTGAATGCTTGCAAGTGGTTGGCAGGGAAATTAGTAATCAATTTAGTTTCTTTATTATATCGATAGTGTTTCAACTTGGGTTTTAATGGACAACAAATACTAATCTATCAACCTTTGATTCAGCTGTTGATTGTGGTTCCTTGGTCCACCCTTCCTTGGTTAGATTACGAATATTTTTTAAATGTTTACTAAATTAACAAAGAGGAAATTACCTGATGAGATTTAAGATATGCCTAGACTACATGATAATTGTAACGAAAAAATCTCCACATAACATGAAACTTACATTGAAAAAATAGCATAGTTTGCTCCTGCTAACAGCTCTTGTATAGGACTATTCCTAGCCTATGCTATGGTTTAAGACGAATACCAAGTTCAATTATTAGGAATATATCTGTTTAGTCCTTGCAAGAACAAGCCTACTATAGCCAACTTGTTACATAGCCAAGTAGGCTTACATGTTATTTTTACTTTACAATTTTCAACATGTTTAAATTAAAAGCCGATTTCAGGATAAGTTGCTGAATACTGTTTTCTGCACCAACTAGGTCGAAGCACAATTTGCCCTATGCATAATGACAATAAAGGACGATTTCTTGACATAGAAAAGTGTTATTCATAGAACAAGTAACTTATCACTATGTTTAAAAGTTATAGCATTGTCGTTTTTAACATTAAAAATGAAGAAAGTCAATAAACTCCAATTTCAGTAGGCTAGGCTCTGTAACACAAAAAAGTATATGTTAGATACAATACTGACATTTTTTGTTTAAATGTTTGTTCAATAAAAATGTAGTTGCAATTAATTTTACATTTACCTAATGTGCGTGGAAAAAAAGTAACGTCTTTGGAAAATTAGCTAAAATTGTAGCTGTAGCTACATTTCATTGTAGCTGTAGTTGTAGCTAGCTACTTTTTCGGAACTGTAGCTGTAGCTGTAGCTAAGCTACTTTTTTGGAAATGTAGCAGTAGTTGTAGCTAGCTACATTTTAAAAGTAGCTTCCCCAACACTGGCCATTACCTTAGTATGTCTTAGCCACCAATAATGGCAATATCATGTGTAGTGTCCAAAGTAGTATCCAAGTTGAAAACATAAATGCCACATAAAACCCTATGTGTAGTACTGATTGATGTTGCCTATTACTGTCATAAGTTGAATGGCATTAATAAACTCTTAATGAGTCTTATTGAGTCATTAACACGTTGAGTGCGGCAGGCATTCCAACAGGCACTCCCCAATGGCAGCGCGGCACCGTATCAGTGAACGCAATTATTGGCATTCAAATATTTCAATCTGACAAATAACAAAAGAGCAGCAGTGATTGTACTACGTTACCCCGAGATTGGACATAGTTCCCTGAAACACCCAAAGGTAGCAGCACTGCCTGGATCAGTAGTCAGTGGCTTTGTAATATGGCTTGAAGAGAGAAAATCCCCAAAACTGGGACAAAAGCATTGTCAGACGGGATTTTACGGGAAATTTCAGTACTAATACACCAAAAATGAAGCTCACACTGTAAGCTACAGGCTAGCAACGGTTTTAACGTTCCCCGGCAATGGCTGAACTCATACTGAACTATTGTAGTGGGGATTGCGCAACTACATCAATTGATGTAGGCTGGTTGGAGCGCTCGTCGCACGACTACATCAATTGATGTAGACAGCACTGAACGTGTTAAACTTAACATTATTTAAATAGGGAATGAATCTGACATTTGTAAGGAGATATTTTAGTAAAATCAAATCACGCATGGAATACCCCTTAGTCTGCAGGTTTGCTGCGGCAGGGATAATTACTGCCCCAAACACCTTACACGAATGAAACCGATGAAAATATGTTACTGAGCTACACTCAAAGATACTCACGGGGTTGTTGGCAACAGGACCCACGGAGTTCCACAGGTTGAAATCTGTAGGAGCCCACTTGTGTGTAGGATCTCCTGGTGACATACTGACTGAGGTCTGTAACATCAGAGCTTCATTACTATCATTACGAATACTGTCATTACTATTTATACCATTACTGAGACTACTATTATTAACATAACTGTCATTAATATTATTACACATTACATTACTTTTCCAAAAATAGGCGTTTACTGAACGACTACGGTGGTTCCCGTGGGGACAAAATCAAGTGTGGGATTACCATACGAGTACAGTAAACACATTTTGGATGTGTGATGTATATTTTTTGCCATACCACTCAAACCAAAGAACGTATGACCAGGGTTGGTTTGTCCTAGGGGCTTGTGTGTGTATTTGTGAAATTTAAAATGTACACATTTTTAGTTGAATGTTTCAATGTTTCTGTATCTATGATTTCTGTTTTGTTTTATTGTAAACTGATTTAATTGTTCAAATATTTGTATCATATTTAGGTGCATATTAAGTGTAAGAAAGGACCACGTGGCCCTAACTTTGCCTGTGAAAACAAATAATTTTTCATTTCATTTCCATTTCAAACCAAACCTATTCTAGCAATATAAAACTGTCAAATAACACACTAACATAGGGTTTTAACAATTTCAAAGTATCCGAGGGATTAAGTTTGCTAGTAATCACTTTTGGCCAATATATTATTAAACTTCGTAGTATCAAACTTTAGTTTTATACATGGTATTGAGTTTGATGAATTTTGTAAATTACAAATTATGCTGGACTATGAATGCAATTGCAGATAAAGCAAACGGCAAAATGTTTTCACATAATCTTTTTTTGTTAAACATACACGTTTAAAGTTTTCCAAACTTATATGAATTTTGGCAGTAGTTGAATTACAATTTAAATATGAAGGAGTGGTCTGGGCAGCACAAAGTACTTGACTCTAGATAATTGCATCATTAGGCTGAGTCAGTGTCATTGTGTCAAGTTGTTTGTCCCGCTTTCTACACACTAAGCAGCATCTGGGACCTTTAAACATTAAAGGGACCTGAGTAACACAGGGCCTTTAAAAATTAAAGGGACCTGAGTAACACAGGGCCTTTAAAAATTAAAGGGACCTGAGTAACACAGGACCTTTAAACATTAAAGGGACCTGAGTAACACAGGGTCTTCAAACATTAAAGGGACCTGAGTAACACAGGACCTTTAAACATTAAAAGGACCTGAATAACACAGGACCTTTAAACATTAAAGGGACCTGAGTAACACAGGACATTTAAACACTAAAGGGACCTGAGTAACACAGGGTCTTTAAACATTAAAGGGACCTGAGTAACACAGGACCTTTAAACATTAAAGGAACCTGAGTAACAAACAGGACATTAAAACATTAAAGGGACCTGAGTAATACAGGACCTTTAAACATTAAAGGGACCTGCGTAACACAAGACCTTTTAACATTAAAGGGACCTGAGTAACACACAGGACCTTTAAACATTAAAGGGACCTGAGTAACACAGGACCTTTAAAATTTAAATGTTTCCCATCCAAAATGTAAAATCAGCATGAAAGGTCTAGAGCCTAAAAATGAATATCAATCCAAACACATCAGAGGCCATAAACATTTAACTTCTTAACAAAATCACAAGACTTAAGAGTCTTGGATTGGTCATAAAATTACCAAGGAGACCATAGCAAGTATTTAGTCAACCTATTAAAATATTAATAAATTAAGCAAATGAATATAGTTTATATTTTTTTAATAGCCTACTTTATTTTTCCCTGCGAAGATTCTAGGAGATGGTAATTATAATTTTGTATCATTTACGATATTTGTATTTAACTACTACACGTGAAACATTAAGTTAAAATCAATTTATAAAACAACAAGCAGACCTATTTGCTGTCAAATAAAGATAATTTCTCAGTTATCATCAACCGTTAGGTTCAAAAGTTTACTTTATAACATGTAAATGTTTACCTTAATGGTTGCCTAAGTTCTTGATTGTGGTTGTAGACCTATCATCGAGAACTTAGCAACCATTAACGTAAAAATTGATTAATACTGATCTTATAACTGGGTCGACAAATAATGTATATGATTAAATGAAAGTGCTATAGTTCTTTTTGATAAGTAGGAAATTTACTTAATGACACTGCAAGTTTTGTAAGAAAACAATTTTCTTACAAAAAAATATATTTTAGAAGGTCAAAAGTAGTTCCCTTATTCACAAAGATTCACAAAATGGGGGTTTCATTTATCATTCAACTTCAACTGAGATTTGTCTGGATAGATGTTGGGAAAAGATATAAAATATTGAAAGGACAGAGATTGAACCAACATTCACTTTACTCCTACGTGATCAGACTGCTTTTGGAAACAAAATTATTCCTTACAAACTGGTATCCTACTGAAAATCTATCTAACAGTGATTTGATTTTTGAAATTTTTAATATTTTAGAAACAAAAAGAATAAAATGCTGCATTGATCCATCCTGAAATTCAATTGTTTTGTTTATATCACAAAATTAAATTGCATGCCAAACACTAAAACCAAGTGTAAGCGGATTTCAAACGAGAAAATTATTTTGGGTAAGTTTTAATTGGGCAAAAAAGATTGAGAGAATTGATTTTTTGTGTTTATGACCTTTTTAGTTTACAAAACAAATGATTAAGTATACTGAAGTGTTTTTTTATGGTTATTGGTTACGGAGAAAATTCGGTGGACCGAAGCTTCTAGGTGTCAAATGAGGTAACTCACTTATTAATTAAGATGTACAAGATCTCTTCGGAGAAAATAAAAAAAAAATTAAATTTAAATGTTATTCTTATGGAGAATATTGTAAAACGTAGATTGCTTGTTTATGGATATATTTTGATCAAAATTAGCAAATTTATTTATTATGTACTAAGCTATTAGTATTTTACAAAAAAACACACTCTATTAGCCTCTCTGTAGCAGCAAACCTAGGTACTCGTTAAACCTAATGTTATTTAAATAGCTTTAATTGAAAATTAATTCAGGCACATATAAATTCGCTTAGTCTGCAGGTTTGCTGCAGCAGGGGTATTTTTAATATACAAGGGCACATGACTAAAGCCATTAAATCAGAGAATTAAGAAAAGTTTTGTTGTACCATAGAGAAGTAAGATACAGGTGAAACTCCGTTATAGGACGACCGTGCGTTTTCAGCTACAGTATATTATGCTGATAATATACTTGTGAGCAAGGAAGATCCAGAGGGGCACCTACTACGGAAATTTCTATCGCACAGGACTCAGGGTCTTCCTCCACTGTGAGTGTTATAGTACATGAGGGATGGTGTTGGACTTTGCCCTAGACACAAGCGACTATTGCTAGACACCACTTAGGTGTACCATTAGCGTTTGCTTACTTTTCTGTGGTTGTGCTTACATTCACTGCCAAATGTATGAACAAATAGAGAGCATTGACTTTCAAAGGTACCATGAAGCGAAAAAAAACAGCAGTCTAAGACTAAGATCATACTATTAAGAAGATGAATTTTTCCTTTAAGAAATTCTCAAAAAACAATTTAAACACAGAACAGGATCTGGGATTTTAAAAATTAATAAATTGAGAATCATGAAAATATTTTAAAATTTATTAAAAAAAAATTAAATCAAACCATGATAAACTTTAAGATAATTTGTACATGAATTATTGTGGCTGTGCAAACATTTTAAGCAATATTGAAAATAAACAATGTTTTAGACTTTTAGGATCTTACAATAATAGAGTCAGTAACAACTACGTCCCTAGACTGATTTCATTCAAACTTCAGAACGATATAAGATGAGAGGAAAGAAACTACAGTACAGAAATTCAGGAATAACATAATTGTAATGCAGGTTCATCAACATTTATAATTGAATGAGTCAAAAGCTGATCATCAATAGAAGTGGGTTTGATTGACAAAGATTCCGTTTATGCAGCTCGACAAAAGGGCTGAAAAGGCAATAATTGATGGTGTGGGCCGGGGCAGAATTCAATAATTCAATATGGCCCTGTCTCCAACAAAGCTCGCGGCAAGGTGAGCACAAATGAGATTTCAATAAAAATATTCTTTGGTCGTATTTTCTTAAATTAGCTTCTAACCAAAATCATACTAATATTTTAGCTGAGGTTTGTTAGTTCGGGTCTCATACATTTACTAGTGTTCGAATTAGGTTGATTTGGCATGATGATAGCTCAGATTCCCCGTTAATACAATATCTAGGCTTATTCTTATCTGAGAAATTCTTAAGTGTGTCACCCCAAGGAAGTTTCCCGCGTTTTCCTTATATGTATAATTTTAAAAATAATCAAATAATCTTGACAGCTGTTTTAACTAAACAAATAAGCTGGCTTCTATGATGTTCAATAGCACAAGGTTTAACAAAAGAAAGCAGCACTATTATTATTTTCCTTATTTTTTTTTTAATTCAAACAGCTCTAGATACTGACAACGCAGAACAGAAGTAAGAAAGCATTTTTAAAAGTTTAAATTACAAACAAATTAGCAAACTGCCAAGCATCCAGTTGTGTCACTTGTTTTGGTTTACATTGTAATAAGCTGTTATGTTGTACATTTATAGTTATACCCTCACAGGCGAAGCCACAGGTACAAGCTAGTACAAAATGGTTTTAGAATGTAACTTTGTTAATTTTAATATCCTTACAGCCACTGACTTTTGATGCTGTAAATACTTCTAGTTGTAAAATCTGGAGTTAGTTCTGGTTTGTCCCATGTCTGGTTATATCCGAATGTGCCGATGTCGACTAAATGTATTTTATGCAATTTAATACATTGTGCGCTCTTCTATTGGGTACCAGAATACAATATATAGTTCATAAATTGTTTTATTTGCTTGAAATAGATCGCAAAAAAGGTATTAAAATAACTTTATCTAAGTAGGACAGAATCCTAAAGATGTCTTTAGCTGATCCATAATGATGACAAATTTATATGAGAGTATATATAAGGGAGTCTTAAGACTTATCATGATTTGGTCAAAAATATATTTTAAACCAGAATATAAAATGTAGTTGTAGTTCTTAACAAAAACAGTTCCCGAATCCCAGTTGTAGTTAAATAAAAATAGTTGTAAATCCTATTTGTTCAATTAAAACAGTTTCCAAATCCCAGATTCCATTAAACCTAATAAAAATTTGGATTTCAAGATTTCCCAAAAGGGAAATGCATAAGAAAAATATTATATAAAAATTTCCAAACAGGAAAACGAAAAAAAGTAAATTATCAAAGAAAAATCTGTTAACAATTTCTTAGTTGAATCCGACTAGCTCTATAAAATATATTTTTATGAGCACATTATAATTTTACAAAATGGAAGGATGTGATTTAAAGACATCCTACCCTTCTACCACTCAAGACAATGGAAGCTCTCAAATTGCTCTCCTTTTGTGTCTCTTACTTTCCTTCCCCTACAAGCAATTTCTTTGAGAATATTTTATATGATATTCTGACAAAATCGTACAATATTCAAACAAAATTATGTAGTAAAAACATTGAGCATAGGTATGGTACAATGTTTAAAAATAATTTATAATATCCGTGGCATTGTATTTAATTTGTTTAAAAATCTCAACCATACATGAGCAAAAAACTGTTTAATAAACTGTCTCGAGAATTCAAAAACAAAATACAGTCTAAGCACTTTAAAATCAGCCTTGCTAATAAAAAAAAACCCTATTAGGGTATATATGAGTTTTTAACTGACCAGGATAATGAATTTGTTTTTTAAATGTAATTTTTAAATGAATCCATTTTTGTCTAAAACAACCACTTTTATTTTTATAATTTTAGTTGATTTCATTTTTCAATAGAACTCTAGTTTCAAACAAGACTAAATCACCAACATCATCGATTAGCCAAAATAGATAGCCTATAAAAAAAAGCGTAAATATAACCAAAAAGATACATAGTAATACAGATATTTTGAAATCAGGAGGAAAAGTGGATGGGAACAGAGAATAGTCAGTATTTGGTTAAGATTAGAGAAGTATTAAGAAAGAACTCTGCGTAACCCATCACGGTTCGTTAGCGATATTAAATATAAATTTTCAACTTTAAAAAAACATCAACTTATAAACAGATAGGCTCATAAATGTTTAGTGGTTGTGTTTACAATTATAACCTATGCACAAGACTCATTGAAAGGTTAGGATATATGTGCAAAATCTATGTCGTCATCTACTCCAGTACATACCATTGGCCGAGCTGGACCAATAACCTGCGCCACCTTAGATATTTTATATAGCTTTAGTGAATATTGTTTGTAGTAAAATTTATATTATTTTTTATAACTTGAGGACAGTTCCCGGCGTTGAGCTCGATTTCCAATTGATTCAATTTTTTATTATAGTTTCAATTAACCTGGGTTTTGGTTTTACGTGGTTTGGTTAAAACAGGGTGTCCACAGAAAATTTGTCATTAATTTCCATGACTTTCCATGACTATCCATGACCATTTACCATTGATTTCCATGACTCGCGAACTTTACTAGAAAATTATATATAACATACACATACAGATAATACTGCCTGGACAAGTAATTTCACAGAAAATACTGAAATTTGTATTAACACTGGAGTAATAAATTTGCAAAAATATCGTATTCAAAATAAGGAAGGAAAGAAGACGCCCCAGCCTCCTCCGTCCCTATAACTGGCCAAGTTCTCTCGAGCCACTTTCTTTTTTCCTCCCGTTATACTTTTTATTATTGAATTTAGAGTTTTCTAAATTAAGCTTTTAACTTAGGAAAGACTTAACTTGAGACAACTCAAAACATTATAACAATAGCCTATTTGTATTTCAATTTGAGTCTATATTTGATTCTTTTTGTCTATGATTCTACAAATATTAAATTCAATTATAAGATATAGTAGGGACAGATTGTATTGAACTATTACAAACTCAAAACTCATAAACCTATACAACTGTAATAAATTAAATTGTCGTGCCTTTTGTGAAAAACTTAAAAATCCAGAAAATTGCTACAATAGTCGGGTTACAGCCGACTAGAGCATTGAAAAGTCCCGTCAAATCTATCCATCATTGGGAATTTCCATGACTTTCCATGACTTTTTGCCTATTTCCATGACTTTCAATGACCAGAATTTTTTTCCATGACTTTCCCTGACTATCCCTGACTTTCCAGAATGTGGACACCCTGTAAAATGTTGTTTTACTGTACTGCAAAAGTAAAAGTTCTATGTGATAACGTGTAATTATTTGTACCCTGTGTTTCTTTTCCAAAATCATAGTAATTTCTTAACTTTTTTCATTAATTAATCAATATCTAGCATAATATATAGCTTAGAAAAATCTAAAAAAAAATCTGCTATCCATCTATTATTCAAACAAACCGTCACAGTCCTAGTTGGTCTAACAGGTGACAGTTAGAAGAGGTTTTAGAGTATGTACATTTTTATTCTTAAACTAGCTAAAGCTTTAAATGGGAGTGTGCGACTTCTTTAATCATCAGTCAAAGGTTAAGGCCTAGTATATGTTTGAATGTGATAAATTAATGATTGTTTGAGTAAATAAGAAATCTACATCACTAAATAAATTTTTTACTAGAGATGCTTTTTACCTCTGGAGTGGTTCTGCGCTCATCTTGTTCTTTAGTTTCCGCTGCGGTCACTTCCTCTTTGTTCGGCCAACTAAGAAGTCTCGCCAAGACTGCTTCCCCACTTTTGTTCGGCTCCTGGAACACCAAAACATTAGTTTATTACTTCGACAAATTTTAGGAAATTCTTCACTACCCGGACCTACCTCTTCCATGTAGCTTCTTCGCCAAGTTGATGTCTGCATTTAATCTTCTATTTTTAACTTTGGTTGAGCTCTTAAAATCATGGACCTCTTCGGTATCGGCCTCTGGCCTTTTAAACAGTACAACTTCTGAAGATGACGTGAAGAGATTAGAGTGTAACTGGTTCTAGCAAGTTTTATTAATTTTGTTTTGCCCCCTCGAATTTGATACACTGTATTTCATACAAAATATATAGATGGTTGAGTTTTATGTGTTTGGATGGGACCATAGAAAACATGCATACTGTGAAACATTTGTCAATAAGACAAAAATATTCATAACCTAGGACGTTCATTTTTATTTAACCTAAAGGGATTATTTTACCAACCACATTAAAAAAGGCTTAAATATTTTGTTCAACATTCAAACCTTGTATGTTAAAAACATTTACGAACGGAAATAACAAAACAAAACACACTTTATTGGGATAATTATACTCTATGTGCTCCACAGGGAAAACTAATGTGCGAACAGGTTTTACTAGATCAACAACATTGCCACATAAATATAGACACAATAGAACTATATAGGAACTTCCCATCAGAGAGTTATGATCAAATCATGAGTAATGGTTTGTTGGTTATCAGCATCCAGAGGAAGTATATTGTGATTTGCAAACATCCATTAATCATCCATACATTATCTTTGAGAGGATTTAACTTAAAATTAAAACAAAAAAATAATCTGAAAGATTAGGCGGTAAAAATTGAATAACCAATAGTAAATTTAGTGTATTGCCTTCTCAAAAAAGTAACTTAACATCTTATGATTTATTAAGCAATTAAAGCTTTCAAATACCTTTGATTATAACACCCTAATCACATATTATCGCAAACCTTGATAAGAAGTATATCTTGATAACTAGTCTTGTTTGATAATCCCCAATACAGTAGACTCCCTCTTATTTGGACACCATACACTCGGCAGAAGTGACACCTCTTTAACCAGATATTTTTTATCGGCATTTAACCGGATTGGATCGGCAGTAAATGGGCGGTACTGAAACTACTTTTCTCAGGGGAAAGATTAGAGACTAGTGACCATAAGTCTAAATACAATGCTCTGCCAAATTTATATAAAAAATCTTGTTAGACATCCTAATTTAACAAGTTTTAGGAGACGTTGGTTTTTGGAAAAAATGGTCCCAAGGAATCCGGATAAGAGGGAATCTACTACAAAGACATGCTATCAAGGTTCTACTAGCCCACTGATTAGTTATCAAAAGCACCTTTGTAGTGTTGTCGTGCTTCTGACGGTTGTTGTTGTTGAGTCCGGGATCTATCACTCGATTGATGTTCGGTACCGCCAGGTCTCGCCACAATCTGGTACTGTAATGGACATATAACTGTCTACCTTACGCTCCATACTTGTCTCATTGGCTTCATAGAAATTTGCGTTACGTGTTACAAAAATATTGAAAATGGTCGGATTTTATTGGTTTAGTTGTTGGGTTTGCGTTATTTTAGGAAACTATATGATTGTTGTGATTGTTGTTGTCGACGCCAGTGGCATTTTGAACTAAAAATGCTCATAATATAAGGGAAAGGGGTCCAAACCCGAAAAATATTTCGGGATATGCTGGAAACCTAATCTTTCCCTCACGCTTAAGTCCACGATGCTAAACACTAAACCAGCTACCTACACACTCATGTTAAAGTGGTTCTATTGCTGTCGACTACTTGAATTTGTATGACATTAACTATAAATTTTGCTTAATGTGTTGGGTTTAAACAAATAGAAAGACACTGCAGGACTAACAAAATTGTTCAGATCCAAAGAAAAATAAATTTAACATGGAAAGAGGAGGTAACTCATAAAATGATACTGTTAGACTTTTTGATTGAGTAAATATTTTGTATATACTGTATTTACATTACAACAGGAATCAAAAGGAACAAGTAGATTCTTTCTGTAGGAGACAAATACGATATTTTTGAGGCCAGCCAGACCAAGCTAAAAAATTCTATAGAGGAAGCGTGTATTTATGTTATCGCTGAAAATGTTAAGTTGCTGATGAATAGATTGCCCATATTATTTTCTTTACCAATAGATTTTGATAAAAATTGTATATACTTATTACCGGTAATAAATAACATAACATTTACAAATAATCCAAAACTATAAAGATGGGAAAATATAATCTAGTCCAAACCTATAACAATTTAATCAATTCCCTAAAGTTTAAAACACTAGATATTGTTAGGTATATAAACTTCAATCGGAATTTTAAGTGAGAATAATTCTGTTTGCGCAAACTAAGTACTATCCAAAGTAAAGACATCAGCATCACGATAACTTGATAAATATTATCTCTGCATGCAAACTTTTCAAGGACTTGAAAGCCATCTATTTCTAACTGCAGATGTAAAACAGCTGTAGTAAGAATATATTTGTATGATAATGAATCACATGGTTTATCGGTTTATAAATTGTTAATGCTTTTAAGATTATTCAAAATTGTTTATACATTAATTAAGACATCACCTGCCATTTAAAAATTTGGAATATATGATAATAGATCATATGGTTTGCAGATATAAGTATTATTTATGCTTTTAAAGACATTTGACATATAACCTTGACCTTTTTGGTTGAATTTGTAATAAAAGTGAACAAGTAGGTAGGAAATAGAACAAGGTTATACTTAATGAATAGTGCACACGGGTTGAAAACTATTCTTGGATTTGATTACATAAATATATATTTTTATTATTTTTTTAGCATAGACAGTCATTGGCTGCAAATGGATACAGTGTTTATTTAAAAAGCTTACCCCATGTTGATAACTATTTATTTTGATAGAAACATAATTTGTCAAGATATTGTAAAGATGTTGTAGAAAAAGTTTTGATCAAAACATGTATGTGGTTTTAGTAATTACTGGTGAATTTGAAAGAATATTTATACAAGTTTATATAACTAATATGCATGACGTCTACCAGTTCCTTTAAATACAAATACATGATTTGGCGGTTACCTTTTGTCATAAGGAATTTTATGTATGTGTGTAGATTTTTTGTGTTAAAATATGTAAAAACTCCATGGATTTCAGACTCTGAGTTGATAACTAAGTAAATTATGAGAGTTAAAAGATTCACTGTAATTTTATACTCAATACTTAATATATAAATTTCTATTTTTTTAATTTTGGTAATGGAAAGGATTAAATTTAGTGATGGCAACTATTTTAATTCTCTGATCGGGATACAAATCTGTAACTGCAAAGTGTAAGAATTATTTTGAAAAATAAGTGACTTTCATAACATGAGTAGACACCTCCAATAATTTTAATAACATTCGTAATATACCCATACAACACACAAACCAATCAATTAAATTTTCTAAGTTTTAGCAGACATTTCATTGGAAAAAAGTGAAGACAAAACTGGGGATGACTCAACAAGATATTAAACTACTGACACACCCCTACTTGGTGAATAACTCACACACTATAGACATAAGGTTTCAACCACCCCTCTCCCATTAGGCACCCCTGAGGTAAAAATAAATTCTTTCATTTACTTGAAACCCTCACAGGGGGGAATATCAGTAACCACAATGCATTAACAGATGAGGTGTCTATGTAACCACTCCCAAAAGGTCACTTCACAACTACAAAAGGTTAGGAAAAATAAGTCTTCTTCGGGTTTAAGCTATGTTGTTTTAATAATTTTACACCTCATTGTTAACGGGTTTATACTGAAAGAAGTGACAAGTGTTTGGTTCAATTATTGTGTTTTTCCATCACAATTAATTTAGTATTTTGGATATTAATTTAGATGGCTGGAATATAAGTGTGTACTTAAAATATCCTGTCAAATAATGTGTTTTTGTGAAAGCCATTTGTATATTTTCCACCTAAATGTTGCTCTGCTATTGCGAAGTTATGATTCATGAGGTTTAAAAATCACAATGTTGCAGTTAGGCTGTTGTACGTAATTAAGAAACTGTTTATTTCATTATTGTAATGTATTGATACAATGTATTTTGTAATTTTGGGATGAAGAACTTATCTCTTATGACAAACTAAACCTAGAATCATGTTGTGGAATGTGGACAGTCAAGTTTAAACCATCATATAAAGCGATTGGAGCTAGTGTTAAATAATCTGACTCAAAAACAGGACTGAAGACAAAAAGCCGGGACTGAAGACAGAAAGCCGTCTATGTAATCACAAAGTTATGACTCATGAAGTACAAACGATCTAAACCTAAAAACATGTTGTGGACAGACAAGTTTATAAACCATCACTTGGTGATAAAGAAATTGGATCTAGAGGTAAAATAATCTGATAAAACGACGGGACTGAGACAAAACAACTGGACTAAAGACAGAAAGACAGCTCTGTTACCATGAAGTTATGACTCATGAAGTTTACAAACCACAATCAAAACCTAAAGACATGTTGTAGACAGACAAGTTTATAAACCATCACTTGGTGATAAAGAAATTGGATCTAGAGGTAAAATAATCTGACTCAACAATGGAACTGAAGACAGAAAGACAGTTCTGTTATCGTGAAGTTATGACTCATGAAGTTTACAAACCACAATCAAAACCTAAAGACATGTTGTGGACGGACAAGTTCATAAGCAATCACTAGGTGATAAAGAAATTGGAGCTAGTGGTAAACTAATCTGACAAAACAACGGGACTGAGGACAGAAAGACAGCTCTGTTATCGTAAAGTTATGACTCATGAAGTTTACAAACCACAATCAAAACCTAAAGACATGTTGTGGACAGACAAGTTTATAAACCACCGACGAGGATCTCAATTCTCACTTTCTCGAGTGGTTTTCATCTCCAATTACAGCAAACTCAACTCTGTATCTGATCCTTGTCCAAACTTTGGAAATTGGACTCTCATGAAGCATTTAATATAATGATACGATG